TCCTCTCCATGCAACGCAAATGCGGGTTAGTTTCATCAAAAAGTCCTTCACGAACGCAAATTTCTCCCAATACTTAATCCAGGAGTTCTTTTGTCGTCTGGATTGCGTTCAAAATTTCACGGCTACGCAATTAAACAAGTCCTAAACCCAACAATTGGGTCGGTTGTTCAACAACGGTTATATATATACATAAAAAAAGCTCGTGTTTAATATTTTAAAAATCAAAAAATATTTGAAATTTTTTACACTTTGAAAAAAAATTATACAAAACAATTTTTGTAAAATAAAATACAAAAAATAAATTTATAACGACAGGTTTCTAATTTTATCAAAACATTAATTTTATAATTTTCATAGCATAAATTATTTTAATATTCAAATGAATCTTTGAATTACATTTATTTTGAGCATGATTTGGTTAAAGAAAATATATATAGCACAATAAATAAATGCAAAAAGAAAAAAAACGAAGAAAATTAATAAAAATCCGGGCAAAAAAGATTTAATTTCCTTTTTCTACATTTCGTTATCATAAGATTTATTATTTATTGAATAGAATTAAAGCAAATCATTTCCGCAACAGCCCTTTGTGGAACAGGTTAAGTCTCCAAAATGTGGTGAATATTGCTCACAAACAGCCTTTACTTCCCAGCCAGACAAACTGATAACGAACGATCTGAAGTTGGGTGGGTTTCATGCCACCACTACGGATGGAACCCTAGTTCTTCACCACAGTTCAATGCTTCATTAACCAATTGTAGCTGTTTGACTAGAATAATTAAGTATAAAGTCATTAAATCAGTAATAGTACAGTGAAACCTCCAGGAAAGATCACCTCTGTGTAGCGACTGCCTCTATTTATGACCACTTTTGGGAGGCATGGTATTGTTTTCCAAAGACTTGAAGAAAATCTTTAGGAGAGATCATTACCTCCTCCAGAGACCGCCCAAACCTCTACAGCAAATGCGGAAAAGGTCAAATATAGAAACACAAAAAAATATCAAAATAAAAAATATTAACAAAACAAATAAATAAATTCAAATGCATTCAAAATATTTGTAAATAGCTCTTAGACAGTGAGGTTTTTTTCTTATTTTTTAGATGACTTCTGCTATCAATGATTGTTTTTAGAGCTGAAAATTGAAATTCGAAAAAAAAAAGTTTTTTTTTGAAAAATATGCATCAGTTTCAAGTAAACCTCTTCTCATTTTTTTAAAAAACTAATTTTTATGTTACAAAATCAATTGTAAACTTAAACTAAAAACATAAATAATTGTTTAAAATAGTTCTATCTTTCGTAATTGATAAATTTGTTTTTACACATAGCAGTTAAGCTCATTTTTATTGATGCTAAATTTTATTCATTGATAGTTTGTCTACGGTAACAACTCCCCCACCACAAAGTCGGAGGCCGTCTGCTGCCATGAAAACAACAATAGCGAATTTCAGGGAGGGCAGCTTCTTGTCACTCTAGGGCTAACACAATAGACCGGAAAAAAAGATTCCACTTCCTTCTCCGACAAGAGCCAAAACCTCTCCTAAACAGTGACTCCACACCCTTACTTGAAATAGTCATACTTTGTTACCATAGTCACCGCCACAGGTTCAGACGAATGGCTAGGGGAGTTCTTACTTTAGACCAGTGTTTCCCAAAATGTGGTATGCGTACCCTCAGGGGTACTGGAACAGTTTAGTGGGGGTACGCATTCTTATGCGAAATATCTTGCAACAAACGAAAATTACAAAAAAATTTATTTAAAAACAAAGCTAGCCATGAAAATTTACGATAACGTATTTTTCTATTGGCTATTTTTTGCAGTGTTAACAGTTAATAATTAGTGATGTCAACAGCTAATTGTGTTTATTAACTTTTGTGCAATTTTTTATAGTAAAAAATACATTTATTTTTTTTATTAAGGGTACACAGCGTTACAAAAAATTTAGAAAGGGTACACAAAAGTCAATAGTTTGGGAAACCCTGCTTCAGACAAACTATATCTGGCTTTTATCACACCAACACAAGTGCTTTTTCCGCACCAAGAAAATTATACTAACTAAAATGAAAATTGTTTGCGAAAAATTACGTATTTTTGATGAAGGAGCCCTAGGAACGACCAATCTCCAACAACCCTCACTTTACTCTGGAATAGAGAGTGGTCGCTCCCGAAAGGTTTCACGGTATATTGGTGAAAATATAGTATTATCAACAAAAGAAATATTTTTTATTGAAGCTAATGAGTTACAAACTTATTAATGATTTGGACCAATTTTAAATTTCATTCAGTAAAATAGAAATTATCCCCTCCCAACAACATAAATTTGCAATACCTTCTAGGGTCAGTTCCGGGGAACAGAATATGTCCAACTGCACGAACAAGGTTTAAAAGAAATTCATGTGTCATGGGGATGTTTTGGGTCGAATTAAAAAAAAGAAAATGACAAATTTTCTGTTATGTTAAATGTATCACAAATATATTTATATATCAATTTGTTAATTTATTAGATTAAATTCATTAAGTCAATGAGTAGGACCTTAAATTCAGTTTGAATAATTATTATTTTAATTTCTTAGTTTTAAACATATGCTAGTTTATTTTAGAATTCTGTATCCATTTTCTTTAGAATTCCTTTCTTTGTTGAAGAAAAAATTACTATTAAAATTTTGATACATTACTTTCGAAAAATATTTTTTAAGATAATTTTAACTATATCATGCTGCATAGCCAGATTTTTCAACAAAAAATAAGCACCCTTAAAGCACTCAAAAAATATTTTTAATCACTTTCCCCCCCCAAAAAGTTATAATAATAATAATTAGGATCTGTGCAATAACAAAAATTATTTTTTCTACCGTTTAAAGTTTATATAGAAGTTATGTATAAACATAAAAATCAATAAAATTTAGAAACATTTTCAGAAATTTTACATAATCACGATAAAATAAATAGTTTCCGATGAATATTGCAGAGAAAATTGTGAAAATCATGCATTTTAGAATAACAATCAATGCGACAAAGAAAAAATCTCTTTTTAAATGATAGAAAATAAAGCTCTTTTCATAAACACCAAATAAAAAAAAGCACCTTTAAGGACTTTTAAAAAACGTAAATCAAAAATAAGCACCTTTTAAAAATGCTACGCACCCTGTATAATATATACATACATATATATATATAATTGTTTTCCCTAAGCGTTTTTAGAAGGGTGGCCCACCCCAATTTGATATATATTTTTATCATTGTTTATAGCATAATTTTTCCTTAAATGAGAAAGAAAGAGATTTTCAGTTTTAAAGTTTTGTTAATAGAATTACGTAAATTTATATTCTTGTCACTGAACTTTTCATTTATCTTTAATATTTTTATTGATAATTTCTTTTTCTTTATCTACTTAAAAGCTGATATTCTAAAACACCTTTATTTTCTTATTGACATTCTTATGGCATAACATTTTTCTAGTGTATGAAAAACTAAGACTTTTGAATGAAATAAGTCAGAGCAAAATATTATTCTCACATTATGTTTTCTCTCCCTTGCTGAATTTGTTAAATTTTTTTCTTATCTTTAGTAACTTAGATAGTTATATAATACAAATAATTAATATTTCTACTTTTTATTATTTTTTTTTTGTGGTCATGGATAACAAGAATTTTTTTTCAATTTTTATTCAGGTGTTTCGCTTTTCCTGAAAAATATAGTGGTATTATAAATTGATATTTCAATGCTCAAATATCCAGAATTTGTTGATTCCCATACATCCTGGGGAGTTGAGCATTTATCATAACATTAAGAATTTAATAATACTAAAGAAATTTAACAATGAACTTTCATAAGATCTGATATTAATGAGACATCATCAAATTCTGTGACAAGAATTACTCTACCATGATATAATGTATTATCTAAATTTAAAATGGAACTAGTTGCATCTTTACTCCTTAAAAAACAGATAACCGCTTCAGTAGGTTGATCGTGATCAGAGAATTGGTTTTGGATTATTATTTTGAAAGGGTTATAATCAGAAAACATTTCTTTAAGTTCTTCGTTAGTAGTTCCATCAGGAAAATTAACAATTGAGACAAAGCTGAATTTTTCTCCTTTGCGTTGCTGCCTTTGGCATGTTGACGCTGCGGACGAGCATGGCGAAAAGGATCTAAATGAGCCAGTTTCAGAACATGAAGCTTCACTTATAACGGAATCAGCCGTTTCATATCTTTCTCTAGTGGCAACACCATTTTTTGGATTAATGAGATTTTGGTCAATTTGATTGGAAGTGTCTACAGCTCCTTTGGCAGAAGACAATCGAGAAGGCTTTCGCGGTTGACGATAATTCGAGTTTGAAGACCCTTGATGACCCTCGGAAGGTACCTCTTTGTTAGCGGCGTAGCTCTCGTAACTTGTGTCTTCTCTCTCACATTGATCAATTACTTCTTGCAATTCATCATCGGAAGCTCGAACAATCAAGTTCCTACCACAAACATCAATACCGTTCAAGGCAAAAACGACTTCGATGACCTGTTCTTGATCTTGGCATAAAATGAAGGAATAGCATTTCCGAGCTTTTCGTAAGGATCTCAGAAGCACCAGTCCTTCAAAATCCTCAAAGATATCGAGTATATCTTCATCGGAAAGTGTGTTGGGATAATTTCCCACGTAAACCACATTGGCCATAAGTAAAATAGAGAGAGGAAAAGCAGACAATAAAAACTACATTACAAACAATTTATACTTTTGATGTTGTCTTTTTAAAACATTAACGTTTAGAAAGCATGAAATTAAATTTCCATAATAATTGATAATATACATTGCTTCTCATAGATTATACTTAAATCAAAATGTGTTTATAGCTTGTATAGTGAATTGCAAAAATGAGACACCTAAAGAGCTTTTCTTACTGCATGGTATTTTTTCGAATGAGAACCTGATTGATAAGTTCTTCCTGAGTGAATATTTTTCACTAATCCGGTTTGCAACGAGAATGGTTCCTTGAAAATTTGCTACCGTAGAAGAACAAATCAAGTTCACAACAATAACTAACACTTTCATTTTATTATTTTCGCGCGCGATTTTCATTTTCTTTTCATTATAGTTCCTGTATTGTGTTTGTATAAGCTTAAAAATAATAAACTTTAATTTGCAGCAATGAATGGAAATATTAGGTATTTATCTCTTATTAGTACCTTTCCTCATCATACTCAATTTTTCTGTTGTTTTAATCAAGATGGAAAATTGTCCTTTTGTGAATAGAGTTTTAACTATTTGTAATTCTTTCCAGGCATGATGAATACCAGTATCTGGATCAAATTCGTTTAATTTTAGAAAAAGGAAACATTAAAGATGACAGAACTGGTACTGGCACCAAGTCTTATTTTGGTACGCAAGCTCGTTACAGCTTGCGGAATGGTACGAATAAATATTGGTATTTTTTACATTACTTAAAATTGATGAAATTTCATTTTATTTGTGTGTTTTACTGATTCTTTCGTGTTATTAATATATATATATATTTTTAACATCTTCTTACTTTTTATGTATGAATTATTGATTCATATTCTAACAATGACTACTTTATTTTATTAAAAAATAATTTTATTTGAGAATATTTCCATATTCTACTGAGTCTTGGCAGCAACTACCTTGAAGTTGCCAAAACTGGATTGTATGTTGTGCGTCCCTCAATCCTCTTCTAGGCTCCTATATATTATTAATGAAAGCATGTTTTCATTATTGGTGGTAAATAAGTTGCATTTATAATAGAAACTTTATTTACTTTCAAATTTTGGTGTATTTTTGTTATCATATTATTTAAAATGCATGTTTTTCTAAATAAGATATTGGCCTGCAGAAATAAAGTAGAAAAAGTAATTATTTGTTTGTTTAAGTAATTAATATTAGGTGTTTGTCTTGCATATTTTTATTTTATAATGCATTTTTCCAAGCTCTTTTAAATATGCTATAAAATGTTAATTTATATGCTCAAAAGCTTCTGCAGATTTATTTGCTCCAAAAAATTTTTTTTCTGTTCCATCACAATACCAGTTGCAAATTACTTCATTTCTCAAAAACATATTTTTTTTATTAATGTTACAAATAAGAGATTTTTAAAATTTCATTTGATTATTAGTTCATATTAAATCTTATCCACTAACAGCATAAAGTAATAGCTACATATTTTAAAATTGTAAAAAGTTTTATATATCTATATTTTCCATGTCCATGTTTATATATTTTCCAAGAAAGGGTTTTAACGAAGAGCATTTTGTAGGTGTATTTCCTCTAATTACAACTAAGAAAGTGTTCTGGAGAGCTATTTGTGAAGAACTTTTATGGTTTGTGTCTGGAAGTACAAATGCAAATGTTTTAAAGGAGAAGGGCATACATATTTGGGACGGAAACAGTTCTAAAGAATATATGGCTTCAATCAACTTATCTTATCCTGAAGAAGGTGAGTCGTTTTATCAGCTTTTTATCGTATTGAGAGAAAAAAGCTCTTATTGACAAGAGAAAAAAATTGTTGTAATATATTTCTTGTTTAGGTGAATATAAATTTTAATGTTGAATGCTTTGGAGCTGAACGGAATAAAAAAAATTTTCTTAAAAAAAAATAAAACTTGATGAAAATTTTGAATTGCAAATTTGAGTCATCACTTTTTAATGTGCTCAATTTGCTCAGATACAATTTAAGTCTATTCACTTTTTCTATTGCCTTTTCAAGGGTTATTGCTACAAAAGTCTACATGATTTTAATAAAACCTATTTTTAGTACGATATTATGGTGCGTGAATTTCGAATTGGAATAATCACTTGTAATATACACAGTCAAACCTCGACATTTCGATCTTGAAGGGAGACGGGCAAAAATTTGAGATATCGAAAATCACATGTTATCGATGGAAGAATAAAGAAAAATGCTCTTTACATACCTAATTTACCTTTCCATATTTAATCTAAAAACACTTTTTACACTTTCATTTGAAAAAAGATTAAATTGTTTGCTTTAGAGATGTGTAAGAAAGTTTGTCGATAACACTTTCTAAGTGGACTACAGCTTTAAATGTGTCCTCTGACATATTCGGATGCCGCTCAATAAATCTCCTTACAGTGTCCACTGCAGAANACAAATTCAATTTTAGAAAAAACGGTAGTTTCACAAAATACTTTTTCTTAAAATTTTATTTTTGCATCCCTTAAGAAGCCTTAAATCCATGTTTTTACCACATTTTTGTGTTGATTTTTAAATATAATTTTTAATTTTTCACAAATTATGTCTAAATTTTCACAAAATAGGTACCTCTCAGAAAAACCTAGACAGACCCCTGATAACACTTTCTAAGTGGACTACAGCTTTAAATGTGTCTGTCCTCTGACATATTCGGATGCCGCTCAATAAATCTCCTTGCAGTGTCCACAGCAGAAAGTGCTTGTTTGTTAGTAACATTGGGCTGTAAATCTTCGATTTCCTCATCCTCTCCTTCAGATAGTTCACAAGAAGCTTTTTCATTTGAGCGATGATATCATTGTCATCCCACTGACCACACACTGTTATGCATCATCTATGTTTACAAAGTCATGAAATTCCATGTCATCAAGCTTCACGAGTTCAGTCAATCTGTTCCAATCATTTTCGGAAAGAAAATCTGCACTATTTATGGAGAGAAAAAATTCAAGTTATCGAGGGATTAGAAAAAAAAATTCGTGAAATCAAGTTTTTTTTAACATTGAGTGTATAGGAATTTGAAGGGAATTTTTTTTCTTCGAGATATCGAAAAATTCGCGAAATCGAGGTTCGAGTTAGCGAGGTTCGACTGTATATATATATACATTTGCTAAATCAATTATTAATAAAAGGGAAAATTTTGTACAAAAAGTATGTTTTTTTTAATGAAAAAGTATTTTTTTTAATGTATTCTAGTAATTAAAAGTATTTAATTTTCAGCAATTATACAAGATTTTTGCGCTGTAAAAATTTTGTGCTAGAATATTAAAACTTATTTAAAAATTATCATCTAATTACCAACTTGACTAAATGGATCATGGCATATGGCAATTAGGTCATTTAATGAAATTTGAATCATATTAAAAAAATTTTGTTCTTATTTAAACTACTATTTTAATGTTTTAGACAACTAAAATTAACTGTTTTGGTAATTTTTTTCTGTGGCAACACTGAAAATTAGAAAATTATTGGAATATTTTTCATATTTATTTCAAATTCTCTCTTTGATTTTTTTTAAAAATCTTTTCTCATGATGTCTCAAGATCATTTTTATCTTTCACTGTGTATATAAATATGTATTTGATTGTAAATGTATTAATTACGTAGGAGACTTAGGGCCTGTGTATGGATTTCAATGGCGGCATTTTGGCGCAGATTATACCCATATGAGTAAAGATTATTCTAAGGAAGGAATAGATCAGTTGAAATACATAATTAATATGATAAAAGAAAAGCCACATGATAGAAGAATGATTCTGTCAGCTTGGAATCCACCAGGTATATTAATTTCTTAAGTAATATTCATATTTTTTTTTATTATGGATCATTTCTTCTTTTTTTTATAGTAATTTTTAATTGCATGTTTATATTAAAAAATTTTAAGTCTTTTTATTGATTTTTAATTGGAATTTTTTTAAAAATGTTTCTTGCTGCTGAAATGTGTTAGTTTTGTCAAAGAAAAAAAAAAAAGAAAAGAAGAATCTTTCCTTTTAGAATTATATGAAAAATAATTTTATGTATGAAAAATGATTTAATGTATAAATAGATGAATTGACTGATTTTTTTTATTCTTATCAGTGTTATTTTTGTATGCTATAGGTATTTATTGAACTATATTGACTCAATGGTTAAGGCACTAAACTGCAATTGTGAAAAACTGAGGTTCGCAAAGTGAAAAAGATATCACCCTGAATAACTTTCATTCTAATGATCACAAAGTGTTAATTTTAATGATTCCTTCGATTACAAAACCAGAGACCAAAACGTACTTTTTCTGAATGAACATATATAGATTTTTTTACAAATGGATTCCTGACCGTCAAAATAGTGAGGCAGTCAAATTTTCGAAAAGATTTCATCATAAATTGGGTGCTAAAAAGCTATATATTTTTGGCGATAGCTCCAAGAAACCGGTCAAGCAAAATTGCTGCCACAAATGAATAATTTAAGATACCCTTAGTTTATTTCAAGAGAGCAATGCCTAATTCACTCCATCAGACAAAAAAAATCAAATTATGTTATGTGATTACTTGGAGAGGGTTTATTTATTAATTGTTAATAGAGAAATATCTCAGTTTCTAGGCAATAGATGATTTTTCAGCTGATTTCTGACCATTAAGCAAAGATTTTTTTCTTATTAATCACCTGTGAAAAGAAAATTTGAATCAATTTATAAATTATTTATGGTTCATCTAACATTATTTGAGTTTTTTATGTTTTTACACCAGAATCTTCCCAAAATTTTATTTATACATCATCTGATTTTTGTAAATATAAATAGTTGTGATGATGCTTTTTTGCCATTTTTCAGATCTATCAAAAATGGCACTTCCACCATGTCACTGCTTAGCTCAGTTCTGCAATGGAGAATTATCTTGTCAAATGTATCAAAGGTCAGCAGATATGGTAATATTTTATTCTGCTTTAATATTTTATTTTATCCTTGCATATTATAGGTGTCTAGCCTGACTTACTTTTAATAACTACTAAAAGAATGTATAAGCACAGTAGACACTAGAGTATCTTCAAAGTACAGATATACAGTACTGGTGCAATTTTGTTAATTCCTAACAGCATAATATTAAGTATTCCTTCATAAATTTCTTTTCACTCTTGTACTAAATTTTTATGCGAATTCATTCAGTAACCAATCTAGTAAAGAAAGAGAGAACTTATTTTGTATTGCACTATTCTACAGTTTATTATTGGAAAATAATTTTAAGAATTTGAAAACTCTTCTAAAGATTTCAATTTGTAATTTTATGCTGCAACAAACCTTTTTTGGTGGTTATATCCACTGATTTCTATGTAATTTTTAAAATTCTGATATTTTTAAAATGAAACAATTAAGACACATGAATCTAGAATAACGCTCATGAGTCATATACACTCAAGAGTCACAAGTTGGGGAGCTGTCATTAATGTCGATAAATTTGTTATTGTATGTTATAAGTCAATGCAATTCTTTTTAAATGAAAAATGACATTATTGACAGACACTCTCAATTAAAATTGCTTTAAGATTACAGGAATGTTTAATGAATAATTTGTTTCCAGGGTCTAGGAGTACCTTTTAATATTGCTAGCTACTCACTACTTACCTACATGATTGCACATGTAACAAATCTGAAGCCTGGAGATTTTGTCCACACCATTGGAGATGCTCACATATATCTCGATCATATTGATGCTCTTACTGAACAGGTAATGCCATTGTTATTAAATGCATTATTACATGGTGAGTAGCATTTTTAAAAAGTGCTTAAAGGTGCTTATTTTCGACTTTAATTTTTTAAAAGCCCTTAAAAGTGCTTTTTTTCATTGGGTGTTTTTAAAAAGTGCTAATTTTCCCTTTTCGAAAATGAGGTTTTTTTCTTTACCATGTCAATTTTCGCCATGTATTATGCTAAAGCGTGCTTTTTACATTGTTCTATTCCACCTTTTCACAATTCATTTCGGTGTTCTGTCGGTCCATAGCGTACGGAAACGCCAATCATTTTACATGTTTCATAAAATATTTGTGAGTCCACATGTGCGTATAAGGCCCTAGGTTTGATGAGATTCTTGCACTCTCATGTGCAACTCTGCTGCATTTTGCAAGATACTCTCAATTTCAGGCTTCATTTTCCACCCTCTGAAATTGAACCGAAAAATCTCTTGATCTTTTTATAATGGCTAATATAATCAGGAAAAGAGTTCTTTGACAAAAATTGGTTATTTTATCATAATCGTGAAAATTGAAAATTGTTTTGCATTTTATTAATGTATATAGAGCTTAAAAATATTTTTTTAGTGCTTAAAAAGTACTTAAAAGGTGCTTATTTTTTGTTGAAAGATTTAACTACGTACCCTGTAGCCCTCAATATCCAATATATAATAAAGAAACAAAATTTTGTTTCGTTTCTGCAGGAGTACTGAAGCTTTTTAAATATGTTTGTAGTGAAAATTTTGCTAAAATACACAACAAACAAAAATACTGAATATATTTCCTGTAGCCTAAATATTAGGTTATGGAAGGGAGTGGTTGATCTGTATAGTTTTATTGTAGAAATAATATTTTAATATAGAAATTATTCAATACTAATTTAAGAAAACTTGAAGAGCATAATTGCTCTGTGTAACCACAAAAGTTATGTATTTAGCCTTATAATTTTTAGTGCAGTACCAGAATTCTTTTCAATATTGAATTACTCCAAATAAACATACCAAGAGCATATGACTATCAGGGGGAGACAGAAATCCCAAATAAAATTATCACTTATCACAGCCTTTTAACAGAAAGTGATAGAAAGAAAATATTCAAACAACTGTCTTCAGTAGCTTTCTCGTTCATTTTACAAGTTGCTAAAATGCCCTTGCCTGCCTCATGGGAGTCTTAACTTGCAACAATTAAATTCACTTTCAAAGCGTGAAGGTGTATATGTTGAGTGGAATTATGAAGTAATATAAAAGCATAGTTAAAGTATTTAGTTCTTTTTATTATTTATGTTAGCTTACAGTTATTTATGTTAGTTCTTTTTAATTATGTTAGCAAAAATGGATATTTTTGAATTGTTTATTGAAAATATTAATTAATAGTTAAATGCAATGAAATACTTTGGAATAGTTTAGTTAATTTCAATCAGGGGCTTAAAATATTATTCAAAGTACTCTTTTAACGAATCAGAAAAAAAAAAGTAATTTAAGCCTCAAAGCTTTTTTTTTTTGTGAGAAAAACTTTTAAAACTTTTTTTTTTCAACTTTGGCTCTAAAGAAGAAAATTTGATAATAGTAACTTATTTATTAAAAAACAGGGTGCTTAGCATTTTTGAAAAATGTGCTGAAAGGCGCTATCTTTCGCTATTTTCTATCTTTTAAAAAGAGATTTTTTTCTTTGCAGTGTTGATAGTCGTTCTAAATTACAAAAAATACATGATTTTCACAATTTTCTCTGTAATATTTATCAGAAACTAGTTATTTTATGATTATGTAAAGTTATTGAATTTTATTGATTTTATGTTTATAAATTAAGAATTTTAAACGATAGAAAAAGAATTATTTTTATTAATGCACAGATCCTAGTTATGATTTTTGTTTTGTTTTTGGAAAGTGATTAAAAATATTTTTTAAGTGCTTAAAAAGTACTTAAAAGGTGCTTATTTTTTGTTGAAAAATCTGGCTTCGCACTCTGAAAAATTAAAACTTTTGTGGATACAATAAGTTATTAAATTGAATCTTCATATTGTACTATATAATCTAATGTTCATAAATGTTTGCAGAGATGAATATGACTGCAAACATTTTAACTTTTAGTGCATAACGTTTTGGATTGATGTATTTAATGTTTGTTTGTTTTTTCAGCTGAAAAGGGAGCCTAAACCCTTTCCAAAGTTAAAGATAAAGCGTGAGGTGAAAGAAATAGATGAATTTAAATATGACGACTTTGAAATTATTGGATATGAGCATCACCCTCCTATAAAAATGAAAATGTCTGTATGATTTCTATTCAGTTATCTGAATTCTTAATTATTCAGTTATTATACAAGTTTACAAAATGAAATGCAGTGTTTTTCAGCAGATGTCACATCATTCCAGGTTACTCTTTTGTTTATGAAATCTGAATGAATCTGACAGCATTATTTTATACAGGTTAGAAATAACTGAAATTTACTCTTTAATTGTGGAGCTATATGAGCGTGTACTGAAAACTCCAGCAATGTACTCTTTATTAGACTCGGGAAAGTATACTTCCCAACAAGTTCATTAATTTTTAAATGTCGATTGGAAGCTATTTTACCACCTGTCATTTATGCGGGCATCAGCTGATAACTTCAAAACATGAATGCCACTCTTCACTCCTGGGGACAGATATCAAGTCTTGCGAAAAAATCAGTAGATTTTGTTTCATTTGCTTTTTCTCTATTTGTTTTTAATATTGAAATTTCTGTTAATAAAAATGTAGAATAATAATGTTAATAAAAATGTGAATCTTCCTTAAAAATGTAAAAAATATTTTCTGTTAAATAAAAATTACATTTTAATATAAACATTGTTAATTATAATTATTGGGAAATGATCAATTAATGAAAATGAGATTGAACTTCAATGCCTGCTTGCTATTTTATCTAAATTTTCTTGTTTTTATTTTCCCTCAGCGTTTTAAAATGCTGGTCAAAGTTAAATTGAGATTTTCTTTTTAAAAATGTTTAGGGATAGGACAAAAATTACATTCAGTGGTTGCTGTAAAAAGATGTACAAGGTTAGCTGTTATTTTTTTTTATCTTGTTTGCTGTAAAAAATAAATTAATTGAGTGAAGAAAAAATTAGATAATTGATTTAATGAACGAGTCCTTATCATAGAAAGGCAAATTTTGGAGTATAAATTTTTCTGGAAATTCAAATAACTCTAGATTGTGTTAATTGGTCAAAAAAGTAATTTCAGTCTTAAAATATTTTTAGAGTGGCACCCATAATTCAAAAAGTACCACAAAAAATAAAATAAAACAAAGGGCTTAGTTTACCTTAATATAACTGTAAAGGTTAGCAAGGAGTCAAGAAGAGACATTGGAAAGTTTTTTTTCTTTGTGCATCTGATCACTTTTCGTTGCTTTTATTTGTATTTATAAACACGACTTATAAATTCAATTTATGACCAGTTCTTTACAGTAGGTTATATTTTGAAAAAAAATTGGCCAGGCTGTTTTAATCCATGAGATTTAAAAAAAAAGAGAAAAATAGTCTTAAAAAAAGTAATACTAACTGAATTTTTTTTATAAATCAATCTTAATCCCAAAAATACTTTAATATTACTAGAAAAAATGGCTTTATAAAGAATTAAATACAGAGTTGGCAGGGTTCATGACAGAATGGTTTAATCAACGATTTTAACCGTCCTGTCCAAAACCTATTGACTCAAATTATGTCAAAATTTTTTTTAAAAAATACCATTGTGAAAAATTTAATGTTAATTTTTTAACAAGAAACAAAATTAAGCTATGTTTAAGTTTTATTAAAAAAGTTTATTATTATTTTTGATATTGCATTATATATCCTTATGCAAAAACATAATTTGTCTATATTAAAATCATATTTATGGAATAAAGTATTCACATCTGTTGTTCAATGAATTGTGGAGCTTTAAAAGTTATAAATCTTTTTCTAATATATTATTTTTCTTTAATAAGTTAAAGCAAATTGTATAAAAAGTATAAAATATTTATTAATAAATGTAATTATGCGTACAAGGGTTACACATAGAATTTTTACTAATGTTCAAGGTTTTGGACACTTTAAGACAGTATTAGTCAGTTTAAGACATCCAAAACCCCAACCCTGGTTAAATAATATATGCCAGTGTATAAGTTGACCTGTATTTCTTATTAAGGATTTGCAAATTTTTAGTATGTCAGTTCTATAAGTTGACCAGTGAAAAAAAACTAAATATAAAAATTTTTAAATTTAAAAAACATTAAAAAAGTAAGTTTTTCAAATTTTTTTTCTCTAGTTATAATTATTTCACATTCCCTCTGGATTATATATGTTGGCTCTCAAAAGTTATTTTAAAATCTTTTAAGAAGTATGGAGTTTCAAATTCTTTGAATAGGGCAATTATATTTATGTATAATATGTGGGACTTAGTACAGTAGGGAACCGATTATTCGGAACGATCGGGACCATCGCTATTCCGGATAACTGATTTTTCCGGTTTTCTGAATCGCTACAAAAAGTCGTTTTTTTAATTGTTAAACCCAACTAAAAAAATAAAGTTTTTAATATATTCTTAAAAAGAAGAANAAAAAACCCACATTACTTACTGGTCTTAAACAAGAAGCGTTAAACGTAATTATGAACATCTACCTAAATGGAAAACCCCTTTCAGATTTCTGTGCAGAAACCTCTGTAAATCATTGGCTTGATTGTAGAACTGGCAAACGTCATATCTGATTCATTTAAATAAAGCAGTACCCTCGGATAAATTGACATTCCAGATAACTTGACCTTTGTCATTTAAATTATTTCATAAAAGAAATACTAGGTTACTATTATTAACCTAGTATTTCGTTTATTACTGCATAATGTAATCCAAGTAACTACTAATTCATTGTGAAATTTATATAAATTTTTGTAATGAATAAGAGAAAATTATAATAAATGTTTGTAATAAATAAGAGAAAATTATAATAAATGTTTGTAATAAATAAGAGAAAATTATAATAAATGTTTGTAAAATATAAGAGAAATTTTAAAAACGGGTAAAATTTCTGAGTTTTTTCGAGCCCTGCCTATATGTAAACAAAGTACGAAAAGAAATATAAAATTGTATTAGACATCTTAAACATTTTACAATTTGTTTTTCTATGCTTGTTTTAAAGACTTAATTTTGTCAGTACCTAATGTATGCATTTTTTTTACAACTGTTTTGATAGATTAATGAAGTTTAATTTTTACCGCATGTTTTTAAAAATTTATTTTATATTGTCAGACTTGCCACTCCACAGGGAGAACCTGCAAAATAGAGAAAATGCAGGGAATTTTTCCTTACAAACTGGGGGGGGGGGAAAGGAATTTTATTTTTGTCTTTTAAAACATGCGAACCTCTCAAATTGCAATCTATGAGATATTTAAGATGATAGTTCAGCTATATTATATTATTTCATTTATTACACATTGAGCTGTTTCTTATTTCTTCAGCAATTGAAACCAGCACTTTTATCCTAATATAGTTCACTAGAGTGCAGTGAATGCGTGTTTCCTCGTAATATAATGCATATAATATGTGCTGGGAAAAAACAGTGAATGTTTTTTAGTTATCAGTGGCCACCCTGATTGTATAGAGCAGTACTCTCCAACCTTGCAACCAACGCTGCAGACCATGATAATTTTATTGTGGTCGCTGAAGGAATTGTTAAATGTTATGATTTAATAATTTAAATTTTTTTGATTTTAACATGCTTTCGAAATAAAATACAATAACATGTGCTGTACTGGTGACGTCTCTCAGCTTGGAAAGTCGTACAAACCCGAAATGCACCGCAGTAAATAAATGAAAATTATTTAATGTTTTTGGGACAGCCTGGTACCATTTTAACCACGAACTGGTATGGTTTTGCGGCCTCGAAGTTGGGGACCGATGGTATAAAGCATAGTTTGTCTACGGTAAGAACTCGCCCAGCCATAAGCTCTGAGGCCGTCTGTTGTTATGGAAACAAGAATGGCGTATTTTAGGGAAGGTAGTTTCGCTTCACTCTAGGGCTAACACGATAGACCAGAGAGAAATATTCCCTTTTTCTTGTCGACCCTAGCCAAAACTTGTTCTAAACAGCAACCCCACATCCCTGCCTGAAATAGTTATACCTCTTTAGCATAGTCACCGGTCCAGACAAATGGATAGAGGAGTTCTTACTTTCGACAAACAACAACCCTGTTTTCGTGTAGTATTAAAACTTGTAAGGAATTGTTATTATTTTAAATATATTTCTGATTTAATTTTTCATTTATTTTGTCTGTTACTTACACATTAGTGTGTTATGAAAAAATATAAATTTTATGAAGTCTTAGATTAAACCTAATCAGATTTTTATAATTCTACATATTCTTATAAATTCTGTTACGGAAGTTTTTTTTCTGAAACTTCACTTTAAAATAAATATTTTTTATATGACAGTTATTTGATTAAACACACTCACAAAGTTGAGGAATTTATCTGATTGATGCAGATTACATAAAGCTTTATGTTTTACTTTTAAATACTATAAAAAAAAAATTTTTTAACAAAAAGATGATCGAGAAAGTTTACCTGCATTTTCTCTGTATAGTAGCTGCTTTTATTACTTCTGCTTCATCTTTGAAAAGAGAGGAGTTTTAAAATGGCTATCTTAATGAAGTGCTTGTTTGTTGAGAGTGTCAATTGTTTAAAACAATCATGCAGATGTTTTTCGTAAACATATTTCTCAATGCAAGGAGCACCAAATCTTGTGAAGTGCCTAGACTCGATACGAGAAATTAGACTGGTTTTTAAGAACAAATCCAGCCAGCCTGGGTTTCTGAAACGATGTATGGGATGAAGTTACTGAAATGGTTCTTTCCAAAATTTAAAGCATAATATTTTATGCTATTAGTTTCAAATTATATAACACATTATTTGCTTTAACACATTTCTAGAAGCTTTGTATGCATTCATGGAATAAAATGCACACATCTTGTATGTTAATTTGTACTTTTCAGCGTATGAATTATTTATATGGCTCACAATATACAAAAATATTATCCACTTATACTTTTTGTTTTTGAAATGAATGAAAAAAAGATAATAAAATTTAAATACTTGTTTTCTAAGCCTTCCTTTCCAAATATATAATTTGAGATTTTAATAAGCATGTAGAAATCATTAAATTTAATTAAAAATTAAGCACGAATGAAAAACTAATATCTAGAATATACATTCACATTTCATTAATAAATTATGTCGATACAAAAATCTTCCCGTTATTTTTAGATTTGATAAGATGAACGCTGATTATGAGTAGAAAGAAACATTCTCAAACTATTATTTAAAAGTTTGAATTAATAGAGTTTGCTTCTTTCCTTTCATGAAAGCAGTTATAATATTCATATTAGATACAGTAGCATTAGATGCTTTAGTTCAAAACCGTTCAACAATCTCTATAATTGTCTTGAAACCAAGCATCGTTAAATATACATTTTTCAGTTACAATATTTCTCTTCAATGTAAAAAAAAATTTTTTTCAATTATTAAAATCCAGAATAACTCAAAGAGTAACAGAGACTCAGATGAAGTACATCAGTGACAGAAATAAACAGAACAAGCTGTTCTTTCTTCGCTTCATATCCCGGTAGAAATAATAATGATTGTTTGAAAACTTTTTTTTTATCATTAAATGTTATTCAAATGTTCTTAGTTTCTAGTGATGTGACAATTGTAATAAGTGTAGGCTTCTTGCATGACAAGTGAAGAATGTTTTCTAACTATCTGAAACATAAGCAGCATAAATTGAAAAGAAAGAAAATTTCCAAACGTTACTTTTTTATTCCTTCTAATCATTGAAACTAAACATAGATTTTTGCCTTATTTTTATGGAATGGGCAAGAAAATTTAGTACTCAGAGGTGAAATTTCGGAGTTATTAAGTGCTCTTTGAAAAAATACAAATATCAGGAGGCATACCAACCCTGCTGATGAAAGCATAGCAAGGAAGATTTTTTAAAAATTCAGAGTTACTATCAACAAATTCACATTACTCCTGATGGTGGTTCTCTCCACTATTTATAGAAAGCAGAACAATTAGAGGCGTATAACTTCATCTGGATATTACAAATTCATTAATTTGAGCTATGAAGTCAAATTTTTTATTTAACGTTTTTTATATAAATGATTTAAGTTGTGGACAATATGTTTCGAAGAGAAAAATTTTTTTTAAAAAATGCAGATAAAGATGTGAGTTATGTTAACATAATTCTCTTGATCGTAGTGCAAGAAAACTAAAGTATTTGAAATTAACTTAGGCATAATTAATGAATAAGAATACAGAGGTGACTAAAATGCTACTACAGTACAGAACCCGTTATCTGGAAATCAGAAAACTGGAACAAAATTCGATAAATTTTCCCGCAATTTAAAAAAAAAAAAATTTCTCATAAGATTTTAGGATTTTTCTTTTTTTTGAAAGATGTTTACCTTACCATCATATAAGAAATAATCATTAGTGTATTACCTCATCGTTTTTTCTTATTTTTAAGATTATTTCCAAAAAAAAATTTTTTTTAGTTGGGTTTAACACTAAAAAAACGGCTTTTTGTAGCAATTCAGAAAACCGGAAAAATCAGTTATCCGGAATAGCGATAGTCCCGAATAATCGGTTCTCTACTGTATTTTCTTCCTGAGGCGACTTTTTGTCTGAAAAGGCTATAAAAGCAACTATTTTCAGGAAAAGGAGACTATTGGGAGATTTTTCTGTGCTCCTAGCAATGTTTTTTCTAAGCATAAATTGGGTTGACACCTGTGGCAAATCGAAGCTTCTGAACACAATGAAATTTTTTGTTAAAAATTTTGAATTGCAAATTTGAGTCATTACTTTTTAAAGAGCTCAATTTGCACAATTGTAAGTTTTTTTTATCACCTTTTCAATGGTTATTGCTACGAAATTCTATGTGGTTTTAAAAAACCCAATTTTTAAGACAATATTACGATGCGTGAATTTCGAATTTGAATAATCACTTTCCACAATATATGTGGCTGGATGGCGCAGTTGGTTTGTCGTCGGCTTTCTGATCCCAAGTCTGCGGGTTCGATCTCCGGCCCAGACACCAGATTTTCGGGATGCAGAAAATCCTCAGTGGCCAAGTCATACGATTATGCAGCATGTAAAAGATCCCTGGAGTGCCTTATTGGCTCTTGGCATATCCAGCAAAATTAAATTCCTACTGCACTTTAGCATCCAAATAGAGTCTCGGTGCTGCCATTTAGTGTGGCAGAAACTAGATGTCGAAATTAACATGACCAACGTTATCTCACCCATTGTGGTAGTCCTGAAAGAGTGGATACCACCTCTGGAGAACGCACTAGGTCTGCTCACCGGCAAGACCGATTGTGCAGCTCATTGGAAATAAAATAAAAAAAATTTATATATACTATATATATTTGATAAATCACTTATTGATAGAAGGGAAAATGTTTTAGACAAAGTATGTTTTTCTAAAATTAATTCTAGTAATTAAAATTAATTTTCTGTAAACATGCTAATTTTTGATATAAAAATTTAGAGCCAGAATACTAACGTTTATATAAAAAGTATCATATTTGCCCCCAACTCGACTAAATGGATCATGGTATATGACAAGTAATTTAATAAAATTTTTGTCATTATTGAAAGAATTTTGTTCTTATTTAGACATCTAAAGCAACTATTTTGTTCATTTTTTTCCGTGGCCACCCTGAGATAGGATGCAACATACATAAGACTAAAATAACTACTGAGTTTTTTTATGGAAAGACTTGTTAATAAAAGAAGTCTATGGTTCGAGTAGTAATAATGTAAGTACAACAAAGACAATAGCCCTAAGTTCACAAGGCCCCTTTGCGAGGTCATTTATATTGTGTTTATTTATTAATTATCAAACATTGAAAGAAATTTATGATTTAAAAAAAAAGATAACTATATTATTTCTTTTATTTAAATAAGCATATATTAAAAGAGAAAAATAAGTTATGTTTCCTTTAGTGACATATATACACATGTGCTACAGTGAACAGTTTTCTCATTCAGGAGGAATGTACTACGCTGATGTCGTAGATTCTGTACTTGATAAGGCTTGTTGCATCACCAGCTTTGGGAATTAGGAGATGGTCCCTGGAATTTATGGCTATACCATCTTCTTCAATATGGCCTGCAATACAATATGCTTAATATCATCATACGTTAGTCATTTATTAAAATTTTATTATAAGAGATTCAGTTATTCACATATTTTAAAGATAACATCAGTGATAATTTCTAACTCTGAACAAAAAAATAGTTTATTGCGCACATATGAATATATATAATTATTTTATATTCGCTGTGCCAGATAAATTCTGTAAAGAACATGCGGTAGCACGTGTGGTCCACATCACCACATTTATACTTTCATAGTTGTCTGATACAATGCACCTTTTTTTTCCCCCTTCATTTCCTACTATTAATTCACACTCTCCCTAAATATATATCTTGTTCAAATTTTCAATCGTTAATAAAATACTTTTTATTCATCCTATCAAGTTCAAATACTTTTTTTTAAACTTGCAGTGGATGACACTTGATGTTAATACAGTTTTTTCAAATATTAATTCATTAATTTTAGTTTTATATGGGAGAAAAAAATTTTAATTATTTAATAAAAAGTAACTAAAATAAAAATTTTCTTTGTTGATCTAAGTAGGAATTGACTTAAACATTTTTTTTTAATATTACTTGTTTATGTATGAAGATTTTTTGAAAAATTAATTTAGATATGCATTCAAGTTAAGAGATCAAACATATATATTCATATTCGCGTTTGTATACCAAGATAGGGATGCCATTATATTAAGTCTCAATAGTTCAAGACAGGAAAGTGGCTGTAAAACTTGTTTATTCAAAATAATTGCTTCAAGAAAGATTATTGACTGAAAAATATTTGGATGATAAAGCATAAAACAATGTACAGTAAAACCTCTAGGAAAAACCATCTCTATTTACGACCACTTTTGAGAAGCACACAGAGAATTTTTTCCATAGACTATGTGTTAAAGGAAGAACCATTAAAACCTCTGCCAGCGACCTGCAAATATCTGCACTGCAGACGGAAAAGGTCAAATAAAGAAACACGAAAAACAAATAAGTAGATTAAAATGTATTCCAAATATTTGTTTGAAGCTCTCAATTAAAGAGCTCTACTTGATGATACAACAACATGTTACAGTCAAGTGCTCTAAAGACGATACTATCAATGATTTTCTTCTGCAAACTTTTTCAAGCAGCCACAGTGTCTGACTGCAAACCCAATGGTTGCGGGTTTAAATTCAGCTTAGGGCATGCATGTTAAACTCTTGTGTGTTGTCGTTTGTTATTTGAATGTGACCCATCTTATTTATGGGTACCTGTGGCAATGTGGTGTGGGTAATACAGTGCAACCACGAAAATCCGGACTGCTGTGTGGTTTGGAATGTCTGGATTTTAGATATCTTACTTAAATTGATAGAATTATCGAAGTTTCGAATTCACCAAGCCGTTTCCGCGATTAAACGTGCGTGCGTAGACCTCCGACATCAATTTTAACAACTTAACATCAAACTTTCGTCATTTCCCCCGTAATCGATTGTTTAGATAACATAATATTAGCAATTATAACTAAAAATATAGGCTTAAAACGCGAGCTGAATTTCAACTTATAACTGAAACAGATGATACTAATCCTTTTTTTGTTGGGGGATAAAAGAACTTGTCCCCACCTCCTAAGTTTCAAGGTTAAGAAAGAACCAGTTTTCTTTCTTCACAAGGGGGAAAAACAAAGTGGTACAAGAATTCCTCCTCCAGCATGCCTCATCTATGGAAGAATATAGAGGGGAATCCCCTCTGTATTCTTTGTTATCTATTCAGAGCTGATAAGAATGACTGGAATTTCCTTATCAGCTATGAGCTTTCATTCACTCCTCACTTTACCTCTTCATCTACTGCTTCATTGTTGGAGTAGAGTTGAGGTTTTGGGCTCTTACATTAAAATTTTTACTTTAAGCGATTTTTTTTCTTTTTTTCTTTTCTGACGAACTGGACGTAAGAGTCCGGATGTTAGAGATTTCTGAAGTCCAGATTTTCGAGCTCGTACTGTATTGCTTTCCTCTGTGACTTAGGTTCACAGAATGAACAACATCTTTAGCAGGGAACAAGAAGTGAGGTTTAAAAAAAAAAATTTCAAATTGAGAATTTTAAGCAATTAAGAAAACTGTTGATGTTATTAAGGTAAAACATTTCTTTTTCATGCATTTCTCAAAATATACTGAATAATTTTGAAAATGAAAAAAAAAAAATTCCAGACCTCCAATTAGATTTAAGCAGTACAGATTAGAATGTGCAGGCTGCTTCCACCTACTCACTACTGGTATAAAGCAAAAAGACCAGGACTCTCTCTATCTCTTCCTGGTGATAAGCAGCCCAACACTTGCTTATCCCGACTGGCCAGTGGACACCTGAAAAGTTTCGCATTTTCTGCTAATCAAAAGATCTTTCCTCTTTGCCCTAAATGCCAACAAAACTAGGCATCAACTGCGCACATCTTAAACTGTTTAGAGCTGGACTGGAATGACATTCATTCCTCTCCCCTTTTAGTTTCGGACTTCTTAAATGTCAATGGATTTATTGATCTGATGGGAATTAGCAACAACAACAGATTTATGCAAAAAATGTAAGCATTTTAACATAACGCTTACAACTAATAGAATTTAGATTGAGCTTTTGAACTAATAACGCCACAAAAAATTTGCATTCATAGATAAACATATAACTTATTCATTACAAAAAAAATATGGTATAATTGTGAAAAATCACTTACCATATGCAAAAGTAATCCATTCTGGACACTTCCGTTTGCTGGTGATTTTGACTATTGAGGAGAGAGGTCGAACTGCAACAATATATGCATAACCTTTCTTTTGTTGGTTTGCACGCAGAATGTACAAATGTGTTTCTGTTACAATTAGGTGGCTGAAAGTAAAAATATTTATTGAAATTCAAAAATGTTCATAATCAGAATGTGATGACCAACATTAATTAAAAACTAGTTATAACAAAACAGTTCAATTTCTAAACTGTAAGTGCACAGACGACTGTTAATGTGCGGCCCATGGTAGCTTTGAACGCAAGCAGAAATTTTATTTTATTTTTTGAAAAATAAAAACACGTCTAAAATTTGAATCTAACATTCAAGTCATCACTTTTTGATGCGCTCAATTTGCACAGATCTTATTATAGATTTACTTTGTTTCTCAATAGCTTCTTTAAAAGCTATTGCTATGAAATTCTGCATGGGTTTAAAAAACCAAATATCTTTAATACAAAATTATGAAGCGAAAATTTTAAATTTCAGTAACCACTTTTTTTGCCGTTTTAATCGTAAATCCAAGCGACATATTTAACCTTATTTTGGTATTCATAACTACCAATTTCCTTGTGATTTTTAAAATTACAATACACTTTACAACATTATTCTAAATCTTAAGTGCACACATTTAATTTATCCCTTTTTGGTGTGCTTTATTTTACATTATATTATAATTATAACCATCGTTGAACAGCCGACACAATTTTATAGGTTTACGACTACTAATGTTCAACTCCTTAGCCTTGTAATTTTGAACCCAATCCAGAAGACAAGGGAACTCCTGGATCGAGTATTGGGGGAAATTTGCTTTCGTGGAGGACTTTTTGTTGGAGCTAACCCACATTTGCGTTACATGGAGAGGAAGACCACAAGAGTCTCCGACAGTTAGCCTGACAAGCAAGGGGACTCCAACTTATGATCCGTCTACCACTGAGGATATTTCATGTCAGCACAGTGGTCGGTTAGAGCTGGATGCGGAATCCGCATCGACTGGGATTCGAACTCGGTTCGCCTCATTGGAAGGCGAACGCTTTATCCCCTGAGCCATAGCGGCTCTTGGTGTACTTTATTTTTGGCGATTTCATTATCATTGTATATCAGAATGATTTTTTTCCTTTTTTTACAGCATTGCTGCACTTTACTAATCACATGGCACAACACTAATGTTTTTCTTCCACTACAGGAAATTGCATATTTAACATATAAAACAGAATATTAGCTCCTGATTTTTCATATCATCTAAATGCTGTAGCACCAACACCAAATATATTATACAGTTTATTATGCAGTTTTTCTTATTCTTCATGCACATTTGTGCAATGGTGAAAATAATTGTGATTGAAACACGAATAAAGTAGAGAAATAACTGCGAATAAAGCACAATTAAGATTAAATCCATAGCTCTATACAATTGGAATTCTAATAGTTTTTATCTTTTAAGATCATCCAACACTACTCTTCATCTATTGAGCTTGGTTTCTGGAAATGATTCCACATTTTGAAAAATTCTGATAATTTTTAGTTTAGTTTCTAAAATTCCATCAGAATGAAAGTTAATTTAAATAATTTTATTTATAAGGAAAAAAGTACTCAGAACACAGTAAATATATCAGAAAAAAAGAACACTTTTACCTCGGATATTTACATTCCATATCTCTAATTTCTTCACAAACAAATGTTCCTATAACACCAGGTTTTTTCAGCCAAGTTTGAATATTAACTTCCTCATAGGATTCTTCCTCGGATTCCGTATACCTATCAGCTTCTAAACAAAGAGAAAGTGAAGAAACTATTTCAAAAACTAACATTATAAATAATTGTGCATGTGATTAACTGAATGTAAGGTTTATGGAACTAGAACTAACTGCAGCTAAGTGTGCACAGCATTAGAGTTGGTAAAAAAAATAGGTTTTTACAAAAAATTGCCCCCAAAATCTAATTTTTTAAATTTAAATCTGGTTTATTTGGTTCAAATCATATGATACAAAGTAAAAAATGTAATCTTTTCTTAATTTGTACAATTAAGAGTATTTTAATATTTATTTTGTAGTACTCTACCTCTATCTTATATATATATTTTATTCAGCATCCTTTACTAGAAGGCAAACACTTAAAGGCCAACATCCCAACAAAATATTAATTAAAGAACTTATTTGGAGGTGTCCCTCATAGGAGGGTATTACTGTACATTCAGGGTCTCATAGTTTGTTTCACAAACTCATGAAATTCTAGTTTACAAGTTATAACTGTCAGGGGGTAATAATTCCTTATAAATAATAAATCATTCATTACCTTCATCATCTCCAATGCTAAAAACAGGAGCCATTCCTCTGTAACGCTTACCAAGTTTATCACTACTGCTGACATGCCTAAAAACAATTTTTTCCATTAAATCTTTATTGAACACACATTAATATTAATTGCAACTTAATCAATTACAGGGGTGATTATGAGCCCAACTCAAAAATCCTGGAAATTTCTTGAATAAAATCATTAATGAAGTATTTAAAAAATTTAATGTCTTTATAAATTTAAATCATTGATATTTTCACAACATGAAATTCTAAAAAAATTAAATGCAGCATAATTTAAATTAATAATTATGTATAAGTTTACTTTTATCTCTAATCACATTTATTATTCTACAAGAAAATTTTTTTTACAAATGAAAGATATGCCAAGTATAAATTCTAGTTCTAATATTTTTAAATAAAATAGGCAAGAATTTTTATACATAAATGTGATCGCTGATATCTCGAAACTTATGGACCTTGGATTTCCGGATTGTGGTTACTGAAAAATCCGGATTTTTTTCGGAGCACAATCATCTCCGCAATTATAAATTTATTGATCTTCTTAAAAAAATTGTTATAAATTTTAACATGTTCAGTACACATTCAGATTGCGATTTTTAAAAGTTTATGTGTATGGGGAGCATTTTGATGTAGATTCGATGCAATTTTAAGGTGAAACATCGCTTCTATGCGTTAATACGCAAATATTACGCTTTGACACAAAATGCTCAACATGCACAGTACTTGAAGCCCTGTAAGTGATAGTCTGAACATTAGATCAAAAGAAACTGAGGGACGGTTTATAAACTTGAGGAGAAAAACCTCACCTGTCTTCCTCTGACTGAGGATTTGTAATATATTCGACTAGTTTTTCTTTTACAATTGAACTCTTGGATTTCACAGCAGAAGCCAGCTGGAATAAAAGAGAAATATTTATGAATTACTTATAGAAAAGAGCTTTTTTTATAGATTTGAAAATATAGCAATTGAAAATGAATAAGAATATATTTCTAATAAATATATAATAGGAGCAAGGTTGGCACAGAAAAAAATGAACAATATAGTTACTTGTAGTAGCTTAAAGCATGAAAATAGTTGCCGAAAACTATGAAAATAGCTGTCTAAATAAGAACAAAAATATGACTAAAATTTTACTAAATGACTTAATTGTCATATATAATGATCCATTTAGTCATGTTGGTGGCAAATATGATAATTTTTATAGACATTCTATCACTAAAGTTTTGTATCAAAAAAATTAGAATGTTGGCAGAAAATTAAATACTTATAATTACAAGAAATCATTAAAAAAATATTATTGCATTAAAAAAAAACATACACAAAAACAGTTTAACCAATAATTGATTTAGCAAATATATATATATATTGTGAAGAGTGATTATTCACATTGGAAATTCCCACATCATAATATATTAAATATTGGGCTTTTTAAAATCATGCAGAATTTTGCAATAACCGTTGAAAAGGCGATCAGGAAACAAAATAGATTTACAATGAAGTCTGTGAAAATTGAGTACATTAAAAGGTTTTAACTCAAATTTGCGATTTAAAATTTTGTATTTTTTTACGAAAAAACATTCATTGTGCTCAGAAGCTACCGCGTGCTGCAGGTCGTCAATCCAATTTATGCTTAAAAAAAACATTGCAGAAATGTCTCCCAATAGTCCCCTTTCCCTGAAAATAGCTGCATTTTTTAACCTTTTCCGGCAGTTGCCCCAGGTCGAAAATAGTTGCAAATTTTAGTCACCTCTGGCAAATCTGTTGTAGACTTCTATATGTAAGGGGAAATGCTTTTGTGTAGTGGTAGGGGAGTTACCTGATCAAATATTGATATCTCTTTCTCTTGGTTTTCGGAGTTGATTGTCATTTCAGATGAGCAGACAAGGCAGCCCTTTGGAGAATGAAAAGACAGCATAGAGTTCAGTTCATTGGACGGAATGATTTTGTGTAAGGCTGAAATACATAAGAAAGTAATTATTTAGATCCTCAAATATGCTTTTTCAATACGAATCAATGTATTAGTTTCAAAAACTTCAACAGAAATTAAAAATATCTTGTCCTTACAATTAAATTTTTTTTTTTAAAGAATACAATTGTTTGTTTAGCAGGTATCTTCTACATTTGAAATACAGTAAAAGTTCATTTTAACAACAATCCACAGTAGCAGATGAATAAGTTTTGCTTTTAACAAGTCGCAATAAAGAACTCAATCTAAGCATTTTTAAAGAATACAATTGTTTGTTAGCAGTTATCTTCTACATTTGAAATACAGTAAAAGTTCATTCTAACAAGAATCCACAGTAGCAGATGGATAAGTTTTGCTTTTAACATGTCGCAATAAACAACTCGTTATACGCAAAAACACATCCCTAGCAACAATTTTATCTTGGTCCCAGTTGGGCTCAAAATTGACTCAATATGGATCTTATATGAACAAGCACCAATATTGGGATGTTTAGAATTTTCAATATTGGTCTTATTTAGGGTCAATATCAGCCTATATATTACCAATATAGGGCTTATATTGGATGAATAATTAATATAAAATATCGTTTGAATCTGGCAGTTCCACATAAGGTCAATATTAGTTGTACAGTGGCTGTGAAATATCGGGTGAATCATACAATTCTATATAGGACCAATATAGGATAAATAACGGCCCGTTCAATCCTTATCGAGCCAAGATTCGTTAATATTGGCCCAATGAGGGCCCAAGTTACGAGGGTTGTAAATTAAATAGTGGCAACTTAACCTTTAAACTCACAGAAGGACGGGCATGCGCAAATTACATATGGGAGCTGTGAGGTGGGGCTGTTGTCGATGTGTAGAGTGCAAAAAAAAAGTCGATTAGCTTAGAAGGGTAGTTGTTGTGTGGCGTTAAAGTGAGGAGTTTCGTTTCCATCGCTCTAAAGCATGTTTTCAAAAGGTGATCAGCGGTTATGGCTTACAATCGAGGTTGCCCGTGGCAAAAATGCAACAGAATGCTATTGAGGATTAGTGGAAGCCTTTGGAGCAAATGCTTTACCATATAGGACAGTATGCTTTACCATATGGGACAGATGGATTCAAGCATCTCGTCTTTTTTCGTCATTAAGCCTTTTCACAACATGCTTTAGAGCGATGGAAACGCAACAACTACCCTTCTAAGCAAATCGACTGTTTTTTGCACTCTACACATCGACAACAGCGCCACCTCACCGCACCCATACCCTATTTACGCATGCGCGCCCTTTTGTGAGTTTCAAGGTTAAGTTGCCACTATTTAATTTACAACCCTNATTTGCCACAATAGCAGGAGACAAGTAATTTTTAACATTTTTGGAATCTTTAATATTAGCCTGTTGATAGTGATTTGGAAACTTCTTGTATCAGAGGATTTCTCATTCAAGCTTTTACTGTGAGGATTAAAAATAAAATTTTTGTAAAACTTATCAATATATCATCAGCTATAATAAATCAGACAAACAAAAAGCTTATAAGGAGAAACAAAATACAGGATATGAAGTATAATAATGAGCTTTCTTTATTTAAAACAATTAACACATTTATGAATTCATCGAGATAAACACACCAAAGAGCATTCTCACCTGAGAACCCGCCTTGAGCAAGACTAACATAGCTGTGATGTTTCCGCAAAAAGCTAGCGACTACCATGTGTACGTACTGATCTTCTTCTTCCCTTCCACTTCCCATGAAGCAGAAATGTTCCCCAGCAGCTACAGAACCAGCAACGTTGGCCTGTTTCTGAACAGCAAACAATGCCTCAACTGCAGTCCCAAATGCAGCTGGCTCCCTCAGCATCTAACAGAAAAAAAAAGACAAGTTGCAGATGAACCTTTATAAATTTTTATAAAACTGTTATATTTCTTGATGCTTGGTATGCTGCAAAAAAGATGAATTAATTAATTCACTTATTTTTAAGCTTGTGCAATTTATTGATGTACATGTTTGCCCTGTGGCAGAATTGCAGCGACAAAGCAACATTGTCACAGAGGTCGTGCAGAAAGAATTTTTTTTAAAGTAAAAAANAAAAAGTTTTCTATTCTACAGAAATTCACACGTAATATTTGAACCATGCATTTAGGCAATCGCTTTTTGACACGCTCATTTTACCCATATAGTATCATAAATCAATGTTATTTTTCTATTGTATTTTCGGCAGTTATTGATATTGATTTTCACATGAATTTTAAACATCTGGATATGTTTCAAACTATATAGAAAATTCGAATCATGCATTTGAGTATTTACATTTTAAGGCAATAATTCTATTGAATTTTCGGCAGTTATTGCTATTGATTTCTCCATAGTTTTAAAATCCGATATCTTTTATGGAATATTACTATGGGATATTACAACAGTTTAATCTCGAAATGAAACACGTATTTGAGGAGTCTGATTCGTTTGATTTCCTTGTTGATCTTTTTTTTTTGGTAAAGTTTTGTTATTTAAAATTACTTACATACGTGTTTGTTATTATTAAAAGTATATTGCAGAATGATATTAGTGCTAGAGCGTATTGTCGCAGATGGCTTGAAAAAATTCTGCCACAGCAATATATTATAGAAATTGGAAGTATAGCAGAATTTGAAGAATTATAAGCTTCTGTGAGGGTGATAATTAGTGACTCGAAATTTTAAAATATTTGATGACCAAGATTTAAGTCAGTAAGTTAAGAGTAACACTGTAGTCCAAGTGTGATGCTTTTAGAGTAATTTCAAGCATGATACTCTGTGTTTATCTAATTGAAATTTAAGAAAGTAAGAACATTAACAACAATTGACAGTCATTTGTAAACAAAACTAAAAACTTTATTAGAAAAAATAGTAATAAAAAGAGCTTCAGTACAGATGAAAACCTGAACAACCACCAAAATTCTCACAGAGGCATTATAAAAAGCCATAAATGGTCATGGAAGTCACAGATGTGACAGTTTTAAATTGTCCCAAAAAGGCCCCGAGTTTATTACCCAGATTGAAAATAATTATACATACTTTTGCTTTATAAAAGCTTTGCATTTATTTAATCATGTTTGTTTGCTATTGATTTTTGATTATTTAGTTGCAATGTTTGGTTGAAAAGGACAAACTACTGGATAAGCTATGCCACATTTTTAAAAATTGTGGTCCTCTTTGACATTGAATATATAATCATAGAACTCATATGATGATTGCATTGATGTTTCCAAAAATTGAATATTTTAAAAAAGTGATAAACTAAATCAAGGTTGAAATTGAATCACCATTGAGTGCAATCAAAGTACTGTCTTCCAGTAAATACCATTATCAGATTGATGTAAACATAAGACAGTAACTCATTCGTGAAGCCACATGTCGTTTTTGTAAAGTCGATACTTAAGTAAAAAAAGTTATGTCATAATTTTGGTTTTCGTTCAGAAAAGGTAGCAAAAAATTTCTTCTGGAACCAACTGTTCAAAATTAGGAAGAATGAAAAGNTAAAAAATATATAAATTTTATGTATTAATTAAATTTCACATATGAATATAGGTTTTTGACATTTTCGACATTTTTGACAGTGAGGTTTTTGACGTGACGGTTTAAAACATGGTTTAAACTGTCAAAAACTGTCACATGTCAGAAACCTGCCAACCCTGCATAGAAGTAATATAACACTAAATTATTAAAAACATTTCGTAGAGGGGAAAAAATGCTAAAAATTAAACAAACATAAGAAACTAAAAATTATAAATAAGATGCTACTCGTAAAACACAACAAACAAAACTTTAAATGTTTCACAGATAGTAAAGCTGTTAGTCATAAATAAATGATAATAAATAAATTTAATATTTTTACATAACATGAATTAAATTTCTAATAAAAAGACTAGAAATCTTACTAAGTTTGCATCCAAATGGAAAGCAGTGGATAAGTGACCATTGTTGTATTGGCTGGCAGGACGACAATCAACGACAAAGTATTTTATAATTTCTTCTGTCTAGAGCAAGTAAATAATAAATTACATCAATAAAAAAAGAAAATATTGTCAAATGTGACAAGAAATACATTGACATAGTTTGCAATAGCTGTAGAACTCCCTAATTAACAATTATAAGGCTATTAGAACATAAAATTAACATTCTGACAACATCCACACCTTAATAATGGAAGTAAAAGGTGAACTTTTTTTTCAAATGAAAATAATTTTTCTAAATATGAAGCTTTCAGTATCCTCATTAGGAAAGACCCTGTAACTATATAATAAATTAAAGCATGTATAGGGCATGATTGGTCCGCTATAGATTTTAATATGCCTTATGAAATATTTTAAAACTGCTGAAGTATTTCATTACTTATAAAGATAGCTTTAAAAAAAACTCTTTTTAGATACCAGATAAAAACTTTTCATAAGTTCAAAGAAACCAGAACCAACTTCTTGTCTTGACGTTAAAATTAAAATAATACCTAAACTGTGTGTAAATTTAATAATAAAAAAAACATTTAATAACCATCACATATGCTTTTTACAAAATAAAGAGAAAGATTAATAAAAATTCAAAAGTTCGTCATGTGAACAAATAAAAATGTTCGCGCACATGTTTTTTTCCCAGCAGTCTCCTACCTCCAGTTTTGAAGTAGAACGAAACTGAAGAAAAACCTCAGAAGTCCATTCTGATAAATTATTACATACATTATTCACATTAGGGAATCATCAATATCCTACCTATATGATGTATTGAAACATATATAATTTACCTTAACAGAATTTCTTGATATTATATCTGATACGGACACTGGCAGGCAAAGCGCTTGAGAAAGGAACATTTCTCTCTCGGGGTCGACATTTCCTTCATATATTATGGAATAGTATTCCTAAGGAAAGTTTACTTTCATAAAAAAAACATAAAACAGATATGGGTAATATTTGCAAATTAAAAAGTATGAACATTTCAAGAAACAGAAAAGTATCTAAGAATGCAAAAAGTATAAATGAGAATTACTACTTGATTTAATAGCATTTGAATTTTTGCTGAATACCTAACATATGTAATTCATACAGATTACATACAATACATGGCAGCGATAATACATGATACAGCGATAATACATTTAAAATTTTATTTTTTTAAAATAAAATATGTGTAGTTTTGTACTCCGATTTAAACCAACTGTTTTATCTTAAAATCAAAATTATACTTAAATCTGCATCACAAGTGAACAAATATGTAATAAAATTCAATCTCATAAAAACATTAGAGCTTTTTCACATATATCAAACATACATAGTGCAGACCTGTATTGAGGTCTACACTATATACTTCTGATACAAAAAGTATAATATTTTTGTAACTGATACTAAGTTACATTAGTATCAGTTTGTAACTAAGACTGATTTACCAAAAGAAAAGGTACTTATCTATCTTTATTGGTAAATAGAAATAGTGTAATTTTTTTCTATGTTAATACTAAACCACATGTTGCACAAAAAGTACTTTGTGAATAGGAAATTAAACCGCACTCAGAGTATTTCCTCGATCTTGTGCTATCTGATAATGGTTTGCTATAATTTTAAATGGTAATTATTTTTAATCTGAGAATAATACAGAACAACTCCAGTTCTTTTTACAAAAACTACCAGGGTCGTTCTTCAAAATTGGTGAAATTTGTATACAATAGTAGAGATTACATTATCAATTAGAGAAATTTAAATTTTGTTTGTTTAAACCTGTGCAATATGCTTGTTAAAGCTTATGTATGAACTTATGCAATAACCAGACAATTATCATTATTACTACTGAACTACCACAACCCTAGCAGCAAAATAACTTGGGCCCTCGTTGTGGCCCAATATTCACAAATCTTGGCTCAATAAGGGTTCAAAGAGCCAATATTTTTAAAATATTAGCCCTAAATAAAACTGTCCGATTTACCCAATATTTTGCAGGCACTTTACAACCAATATCCGCCCTATATAGAATTATCAGATTCACCCAATATTTTTTATTCATTAACCAATTCATTAACCAATTCATTGACCTATATTGGCCCCATAAGGGCTGTAATTGTCCCTATATAGGGGTCTGTCCAGACATTTTGTGGAAGGTCCTGTTTTTGTAGAATTGTGAAAAAACTACTCATAATTTGTGAATATAAAATAAGTGTTTAGTCACATTCTTTCAACCAGGGTCCTGCTTACATGAATTGAATTGAGGAACCTATTTGTGCAAATAGGTTCCTGTGATTGCAAAAATTGCTAAACACCTTTTTAAGAAGTTTTTAAATTGTAAATAGATACAAGATTCTGCTCAACAATTGCTGGTACTAAATTAGAGACGCAACATACAAATATTTAGCCTATATTGCTCAACACAGAATATTCATTTCGGACAAATAATGGAAACTTGTTGTTGTTCATTTACATGGCACTAGAGCTGCACAATGGGCTATTGGCGACGGTCTGGGAAACATCCCGGAGGATGATCCGAAGACATGCCATCACAATTTTGATGCTCTGAGGAGGGGATGGCACCCCCGCTTTGGTAGCCCGACAAACTGCGCGAGAAGTCGAGCACTTTACGGTAGCACAGTTTAAGGAGGACCAATACCGCACACCCTCGGTCCTTACGCAGACTGATCCAAGTGGTCACCCACCCGCACACTGGCCACAGCCAGTGATGCTTGACTTCGGATTCTGCTGAATTCATGTAACGATGCTGAATTCATGATGCTGAATTCATGTAACGATCAGTCCACTGCGGGACACAAATAATGGAAACAAAATCACTCACATTTTTAATAATTTCAATTGACGTATTTTAAATAACACAACTTAGTTACGTATCACTTTTAATGTGTTACGCATTAAATGAATTTAAACAATTCCTACATTTATAATATTTTACTTAAAAAGTTGCCAGAAATTAATTTTCATTTACATAATATTCTAGGGATTAATTTTACAAATAAATATAAATTGATCAATTATTTATTTACAAAAAAAATAATCATTTAATATCAGTAAGAATGAGCACACGATGTTTGTAAATATAGAAATATTTTCTTAGAATACAACACTTGGGGAATTTAAACTTAGGGAAATTTGGAAAACTTAGTCCGTTTCGAACTGTCTTTCTTTTTTCTCCCCCGGGAAGGGTTTATTCGATTGACAAAACAATAATGATGATAAACAAATTTGTGAAGTGTCTGATTAAATGATAAAATTATTTTGTGAACGGTTTGTTTTTATGAAAAGATATTTTGTGAAGGGTCTGTTAACGGGCCCAAATTTCTTCTAAACAAACCCCTGCTATATAGGAGCAATATTAAAAAATTAAGACTTCTCAATATTGGTTATCTGTGCATGTTCATATAGGACACATATTGAGCAAATTTTGAGCCCAACTGGGGCCAAGATATAATTGTTGCTAGGAAATTTACAGAGGGAGATGTGATTACTAAAAATCAATGAATAAATTAAATTTAACTATACATACAGTATTTTTGGAAAACAACTGTATACCTGAATGAAAGAAGGAGGAGTACACATCTTATAATGAAATGCAACAGTGCAAAAGTCTTCAATGTCATTTGCATCTAGTTGACAAGGAATTAATTGCAATTCATCTGCAAAAATAAACAGACATTCATGAACTAAATTTCATTTAGTAATTTTGATAGTGCAATTGAGAGCACAAGTATTCCACAATGAATTCAATTAGTTTAACGGATTTAGATACATAAAACGTTCCTTTATTTGGTTTCATGCTTATCAAACTTCAAAAAAAAAGTACCCACAGTAAAATCTAAACATCATAATATGGAACAATAATAAATAGTTTTAAAGTTAATACAGCATAGAAAGAATGAATATAAATAAGGATTTGAGAGGATTAAGGCACTCAAGATACAGATCTACAAGGTGATGATGCAATCATAATGAAAATTTCAAATTGGAATTACAACATGGTAAGGTTTGGTTCAGCAAGCACCAGGGCTGGTTCAAGACTGCTGCCACAGGATTTAAAAACTGAGATGTTAAAAGAAATGATTTAGATTTCTTCAATGTAGGTACTTTATTTTTCGCACTAGAATACCCTAGAACACTTTCGCACTAGAAACATCCCTGAGGATGATTCGAAGACACACCATCACATTTTCGATCCTCCGCAGAGGAGATGGATCGCATGCTCAGGTAGCCCGACGTCCTGTGCACTAAGTCGAACACTTTACGGAAGAACAGTTTGGCAAGGACCAATACCCTGCTCCCTCGGTCCCTACGTAGGCTGATCAAAGTGCTCACCCACCTGCTTACTGACCACAGCAGTGATGACTGACTTCGGTGTTCCACCGTGTCTTCACGCTCACTCCACTTTAGGACTAGATTTCGTTACATATCAGTACTTATTTATAACAGAATAAAAAGCATAGTTATTATATTTATTTTGTTTTTCATAATTACAGAAATTTCCATGTTTTAATAGCTTTTCTATTATTTTCTAAAAATAAAAAAATATAACACTTGTGTAAGAATTAAGTACTCCACCCTTTGTGCATGCATTAAGGGGTAAGTGCATGTTCAGAACTATCATTGGGTGAGACACTTGATCAAGGCCCTTTTCAGAAAAACTGTAAATTAAATGCAAAGAAATAAATGACTTTAAGTGAGGTATTGTTTCTGTATTGAAAATGACATAAAGCATGAATGACTAAAATCTGTTCCAATCATTTAAGCAAGACTTTTTAATAATCATAATTGGCTTGACAGCCCAAGGTGGGCCTTGGTCTTCACTAGAGCTTTTTGTAGACAGATCTATACAGTCACTGATATATATATATTTTCATAACTCGGCCACTTTTTGACCACAACAATCAGGATATAGAGATAAATAATATCTGAATAGATATGCAGAGATAATTAGAAAAGAAAAAAATTCAAGTTTTAAAATTTTTGAATTTAAAAAAAAAACCTGCTACTTCCATTTTTTTTTGCTTGTTTTTTTGAGAATCCATGACTAATTACTGAAGTAACTACAAAAATGTAATAGTAATAGGAACAAAATATTTCCATCACAAGAAAATATTTACCTATTATTGACTGCTTATCTGCTCCTTTCATTTCTAGAAGTTGCTCCCTAAACAAGAAAAAAACTTGTTATTCTGAAATTGCAGGAAACATTTATTTAAAATGTTTTACAAATAAAGAATTATTAGGCTTCTTAAAGAATTTATTAGGGGGAGAAAAAAATTTAAATGCAAAAGCAGCTTTATTATGAGATTATTTTCTATAGTAATAGAAACTATAGAAAATAATCCACCACTGATTTTAATCATCACAAAAATTTTAATATTAGGTTTTATCAAATTATGCCATTTTTTTCCATTGTTAAATTTTCTTAAACTTTATTGAACAAAACAGAAAACAGATGAGAAGGGATCTGTCTAGCTTTTTTTAAGAGGTATCAATTTTGTGAAAATTTAGACATAATTTCTGAAAATTAAAAATTATATTTAAAAAAATCAACACAAAAATATGGTTAAGTAAGAAAATATTTTTAAAAACTGTCACTACAAATAAAAATCATTTATGACTGGTAAATGTCTAAATATTTTTCTCCATATATTGAAAAACAATTTTGCTATTGTAAAATTTTGGGCTAAAAATTCTGTCCAAATTTCAAAATACATAAAAATCATTGTTCATAGTTAAATTTCAACTTGAATTTAATAAAAACATGCACTTAATAGTACTAGCACAAAAAATTATTTTAATTATGAAACATTTTCAACTGGATCATACAGAAAAAAGTTTCACAGGAAAAAAAATGCTTTATTAAAAAATAAAGGTTTGTTGAATAAATTTACAATAGTGCTTAAGAAAATGTTCAAATTTCGATTTCCTGTAAGGTCTATAGAGGAAGAGCCTCGTTGTTTCATTTTTAACAACTCCACACAAAAAAGCTCGCTTTGATATGGCGTAAGCGACTGGTTAGGCTTACCACATTGCTCTATCTGACCAAACACATACTACCTTTTCGTAAAAGACACTTGGCAGAAAAGCTGCTCTTTTCCATAGATTGCAACGAGAATGGGGTTTGCATGAGAACTTTCTTTTTTAATGCATTTTGTGAAACTACTTTTTTTCCTAACATTGAATTAGTGAAGGTGCCGCTAAATGGTAGTAAATTTAAAAATTCTGCAAATAAAAAAAAAATTCTTTGCTTCCTAAACAAAAAATCTTTTTGCAAGAAGTCTGCAATGTTCTGCAACAATGTTGCTGTGTCGCCACAATTTTGCCACGGGGCTGATAAGTATATGGAAATGATTATCAATTTAATATAAAAGGATAACGAAAAATTCAAGCATTTTCCAAAGCAATTATTCCATTTATTGATAAATAATTTAGATGTTTAAAATAAACTTACTTGGCATTTATCACAATAGCTAATGCAAGGTAAAAAATTAAAAAAGGATCAGATGCAAGAAAATAAATGTCCCACATAATATGGATGACTTTTAGACAGCAGGTGGAAGAGAACAAACAGCAGAACTAAAATAAAAACACATTTTATTTATAGATATATTTAGAATTTTAATTTGTTAATGAAAATAAATGCAAATAGTACTTTTAATTATAATGAAGAAATAAAAAAGAATTTTAAATCATTGTATTTATTTCAATAATACCATAGTTAAATATTTTATAGTTAACTGCCATTTTCGAGCAATAATTGCACATATATTTTAGAGTACCAAAAATGTATTTTATTTAATATTTGTGAGTCTCTTGCTAATATTTTATTTGATAAAAATATTGAACATAATAATTATTTATCATTGAAAGTCAATGCATATTGTAGATACTGGTTGTTCATAATTAAATTAAATTAGGTTTTCTACATGCTCATTAAAATCTTAAATTATGTATTTAGCATGCTTAGAAAACAAATATTAAAAAATTTATTGCCTTTTTTCATTTATTTAAAAAACAAAAAGTATAATAAGGATAAAAGTTGATAATTTTTTTGTAAAGATATAATTCATGCACTGAAAAATATAAATTTCATTTATTATTGAATTATGTGCTCGTAATTTAATTATGTGCTAGTAAATTTAAAAGTAATTGCACAACATATTATGCTTTAAATTTTACAAAGAATCATTTCAGTAACTTTCTTATTATGTGATTCATTATACATTTAGAAAGTAGAAAAATGGCTAAAATAATTATTCTCATATCCATGTTTTTGTTAATCTTTATGGCGCTAATCAAGTAATATTTTTTTAACTTATGCTATATCTTAAGTACAGATTTAGTACATATAAGTATGCAAACAGAATATACTTTAAAAAACTTACTTATCTCCTGGCGAAATTGGGTCTTTCTAATAAAAAAAAACTTACAGGGGGCTGAGATCTTTCTTAAAGAATTATTTAAGAGCCTTTGTCCTATTTATCGGTTGCAGCATAGGAAATATTAATTTGTTTTTCTTTTTTACGTGGGCATAATTTTATATATGTTGTAAAGAATAGTAATGCTACTGAAATAGAATATTGGATACATGTAAAGGAAGGTATTATATTGCTGCTAAAAAAAAGTAAATTAAAAAGAAAAATTAAATTATGATTTTAATCTCACTTCCTTGAAATGTTATCTGTTGGAGGTAAAAAAAAAAAAAGATAAGAAACTAACAAAAGAATTGAATTGGTTGAAACTTAAAATTTTAATACAGGATTTTCTTGAAAAATATTGATCAATATCCTCAAACCCTGTATATGCAATAACATTAAGCAGCAAAACACTTTTTTTCTTCCGAAACCTGACACCGTTCCTCCTGATTCTTATGTTTGATGACTTGGTGAATCCAAATATGACTATTTAATTTAAGGAGGAAAATGATGCATAAATTAAAAAGATAGTCCTTGGGGGAAGAATAAAGTAATTAATAGAGAAATAAAATATCAATCTTTGTCACAACTTTTAAGGTTTCGTAACTTTCCTCTCTACTTCTCTTAGATTTTCAAAAGTAATTTAATGGTTAAAATTATTATAGTTCATGGAAACAAAATTAACAAAAGTTTTTAATAAAAGGGGGAAGGAAACTGGGGTTACATTCAGATTATAGAGTAAATAATATTTGCTTTGACTCTTTTAAGAGAGCAAGTCAATTAAAGCAAGATTGTCATATAAAAATTGCTTAATATAAAACACCTTTTAGCTTTAAATTTATAAAACATTTTTCAAAAAATTTATTGGAATTTTTTTTTTATTTTTATAATTCAAAAAATTATGGAAATACATTTGCTTGCAGTTTAAAAGTTAACGATGTTTGAATACGAATTTTTCTTTCAAAATAAGACAGAAACTGTGCCAGGGTTTCTTACTTACGAAATATTCAAAAGTAAATAAGATTATACACTACTGTGTTGACTCATACATACATTTTATAATAAAAGAAAAACTTCAATTATCATTTACCAAAAAAGAAAAATTGTAGACAAAAATATGTCAAGAGGAAGTTAAAACACATACCCAATTCCTTGCGTAACATTCAGGTGTAATTTTTTTGGTGTCTAAAAAGGAGCATAACTCAGGTTCATGATACAGCAGTAAAAGACGTAAAAGGTGAAAAGGACTAGATAACCTGGAATCTGTTCTAATAAAAAGAAAATAAATAATTTAACATTCATGCCAAAGAAAATCAACTCAGAACATCAATTAAATTCATAAATGAAAAAATTTTTTATGACAGTTATTGCATTATGATGTCACAAATGTGCCATCATTCTTGAAAATGGACTATTTCGAAAGTGGTATGAAGCTGAGGCTTTAAAGAATTAGTTTTTGAATGAAAAATATTGGCAAAGGTTAAATAATTTGGATGAAATTTTAACTCAATACTTTTATGAAACAAAATCATGCAACAATGATTACTATTATTGGTTAATATTAAATCAGGAAAAAAAAAGACTTTTTAGTTCTAAATGGAATTATTCCATTTTTAAATATAGCAGCTCAAAGACCTTTAAGCACTTTTTAAAAATGCTACACACCATGCATATATATACGGCTACCCCTTTAATTTCGGGGATCAGAAATCTGAGTCCGTCGAAAAAAAGGTATGATTATACAGAAACATTACGTTTTTTAGTCTAAATTCGTAACTTAAAATATCATCTGCACTTTATCGTTAGCATATTTAAAGTCACCCTCTTAAGTCCTAAAATAGGAAGATATGATCATTAGTTCAAATGTTTTCCAGGGTGGTCCATTTTTTTTTGGCACACTTGCATTGAAATAAAAATTTTGCTATTATATTTGAGAAAGGAAACAAAATTTAATTTAAAAAATAAATGAAGTTTTAAAGTGGAGGAATATGCAATGCCCATAAAGGCACATCAAAGCACATATTTTTAAATTCCTTAATCAATGGGAATCTGAGAGACGGTACATATTTGTGAGCATGAGCAGACCAAGCAGTCTGTAATGACTGGTTTCAGCTGGAATTTCAAATTAATAATATAGAATGAGAAATTCAGGAATCGCGAAAGTTTAAAAGATAATTTGCTCTAGAAATGTTCTTTTTTTAATTTTTTCCTGTTAAACAACACCATGTTTTACACATACTTATTTGACTGTCACTTTTTTAAACAGTCCTATTCGCCTGATTTCGTCGTCAATCTTTATTTTGGAGTTACTGCACGGATTTTACGATTTTTAATTTATGTGCGAATTTTAATTTTTGTAATGATTTGCAAAATTTGAAAGAGGAAATAATTAGTGCAATTTTCCACCTACAAAATGTAGAATTAAAAAAATATTACTTTTACAATAGATTTTTTTAAAATACATTTTTATTCTATACTTTCATTTGTAAACGCAAGGTTTCTGCTAATTTAAATTAGTAATTATTATTATTAAAAGAAACTTAAAGAAAAATATTAATGCTAGAAAAGTTTGTCGCAGAAGGTTCGAAAAAATTCTGCCACCTGGGTAGTATGCACCTTTTAATTGCGATTTCAACTGAAAAAGTAATCAAAATAACCCTGAAGTAAAGTACATATCAACATTGATTTTTTAACATTTTCCACTCAGATTAAATGAAATATTTTAAAAAATGTCTTTACTTAGGAATAAATTTTTGATGAATTGAATGAAATAAAGAATATAATCTTCCTTTGGGAAGTCGAAGAGCCACAAGAGGTTCCAGAACATAAACCCAATTATCTTCGTAGTCATACCCCGATTGTCGACAATAGCGTGTAATTACAGACTCTAAATCACACAAAACAGATACTCTGTCTTCATCTTCATTTCCTAATCTGTCTAAAACGAAAAATAATTATTTATTAAAGCATTTACACTAAATATTTTAGTAATAAACAACTATAAACTATAGAAATAAGCTACTTAAGCAAGAAAAAAGAAAGATGTTAAAACAAACTAATGCTGTGATACAAAACAAGACTTTATGGCAAAAATGCTAATATGTACTAGAAAACACAATTACACAGTCAAATTTATAAAATATGAAAATTTTAAAATAAATTATGACATTAAATAAATAAAGATGAATCTAAAAAGTTCTTGAATTACTTTTATAAAAAAAAAATTTTATAACCGTCGTCGAACAGCTGACCCAGTTTTTGTGTTTGCGACTACTAATGTTCAACTCCGTAGCCTTGTAATTTTGAATCCAATCCAGAAGACAAGGGAGCTTCTAAATTAAGTATTGGGAGAAATTTGCCTTCTTGGAGGACTTTTTAATGGAACTACCCACATTTGCGTTACATGGAGAGGAAGACCACAAGAACCTCCCACAGTTAGCCTGACGGCAAGGGGACTCTAACCCATGATCCGTCTACCACTGAGGATATCTCACGTCAGCACTGTGGTTGGAGCAAGACGGATGCGGAATTCGTATCGGCTGGGATCTGAACCCGGTTCACCACACTGGAAGGCGAACGCTCTATCTCCTGAGCCATCACAGCTTTGCTAGTGTGGTTTGAAAGATCTGGAGTGACTAAATGATTCTCATATGATTTCTAAACTGTTAAATATTGATGTTAAAGCGAGTTAAAATGTAATTACAAAGCTGTATGAAAATAGAAGATATGAAATGGATTATACACACCAACTAAGCTTTGGCAGTCTTTTCGGATCTGAGGTTGGATGGGTAAATCAAATATTTCATCCCAGGTTTCATCACTTTTCGTACTTACAGAAAGGCATATCTAATGAGAAAAGTATAATATTTATCTCTATTAATAGCATATTTGTTCAAAATGCATTACCTTAAAGAACTAACATTGAAGAGAGATACTATTGAGAGAGGAAATATCTAATGAGAAAAGAATTTTTCAGAAAGTATAATATTCATTTGCATTAATAGTCTGTCCAGGGCAAATTTACTACTGTTTAGCTGTACCTTCACAAATTCAACTTTAGGAAAATTTCACAAAATACTTCTTCTTAAAATTTTATTTTTGTATCCCATAGAAACGATAAATCCATATTTTTACAATATTTGTGCGTTGATTTTTTAATATAATTCTTAATTTTCACAAATTATGTCTAAATTTTCACAAAATAGGTAGCTCTCATAAAAACCTAGACAGACCCCTGATAGCACATTTTTTCAATATGCATTAGTTTAAAGTAACATTGTGACGTATTGTAAAGACAGGTTGCATGGCCAAATTTTTTCAACAAAAAATAAGCACCTTTTAAGCACTCAAAAAATATTTTTAATCAATTTCCAAAAAATTCCTGATCTGTGAAGTAATAAATTTTTTTCTATCATTTAATGTTCTTAATTTATGAACATAAAATCAATAAAATTCAAAAACACTTTCACATACTTCACATTATCGTGATAAAATAACTTGCTTCTGATAAATATTTCAGAGAAAATTGTGAAAATCATGCCTTTTTTGTAATTCAGAACAACAATCGACACAGCAAAGAAGATATCTCTTTTCAAAAGATAGTAGATTAAGCACTTTTTACAAACCCCAAATAAAAAAAAAGCACCTTTAAGGGCTTTTAAAAAACGTAAATCACCCTGTAACTATTGAGAAAGGAAAACAATCAATTGATTCACTGCAGAGGACTGCCCTATTACACAAATTGGTGTAATGTACTTTATCTTTTAATGTCTTGTTCATTATATATATTTATTAAAACAAAATTTAATGAATGAAAAAATTATTTTTCTGTTTAAAAATAGTAACAGAAAAAAAAGTTTTTGTAGACAACTTTTTAAAGTCAAAATCTAGAAAAAGGACTTTACTCCATCCAATTCTTTTCAACTCATTAGTTAATCGTCGAGTAACAGGTGATTTTTGGGGATTGAAAAGCAAGAATAATTAATTATATAGTTTGAAATTATAGTTTTAAAGTAAGATTTGAAGGTTTATGACAAAAAAGTTTTGGACAGTTCGAAGCTATGTCAATAGACTGAAACATTGACAATTTTATGTTACAATAACTATACAGATTTTAAAATATATTATCTTGATATATTATGACTTTTATACCTTAAAGCAGCATATATTGAACATAATTATTGTTAACAATAAGTATTGAAAATGAAAATGTAGCAGACCTTATTAAGAACAACAATAATACAATATAAAAACAGAATAATTATCGTCATGTAATTGTTTTGAGTGATAAAAAATATGATGTAAAAGACAGAATTTACCAGGCCAATTTCAGGTCAAATTTACTACCGTTTAGCGGTACCTTCACAAATTCAACTTCAGGAAAAACTGTAGTTTTACAAAATACGTTTTCTTAAAATTTTATTTTTGTATCCCGTAAAAAACGATAAATCCATATTTTTGTGTTGATTTTTTAATATAATTTTTAATTTTTCACAAATTATGTCTAAATTTTCACAAAATAGGTACCTTTCAGAAAAACCTAGACAGACCCCAGATTACAAATATCATGTCAAAACTATCATGTATTTCCCAGACACGACTTAATCAGAATAAAAAGTAACGAAATAGCATAGGGATTTTAACTATCAGATTAGAAATAATAAATTGTTAGAACTATAAACGTGACTGAAAGGGAAAACATGTCAAAGGGAATTATTACAACTTAATCAGAATCAAAAGCAACAAAGTAGCTTAGGGAATTTAATTATCTGGTAAGAAATACAGTAGGGAGCCGATTATCCGGAATGATCGGGACCATCGTAATTCCGGATAACTGATTTTTCCGGTTTTTGGAATCGCTACAAAAAGCCGTTTTTTTTTATTGTTAAACCCAAATAAAAAAATAAAAATATTTAGAAATAATCTTAAAGAGAAGAAAAAACGATGAAGTTATACACTAATGATTATTTCCAAAATGATGGTAAGGTAAACATCTTTCAACAAAGAACGAAAAATTCTGAAATCTTATGAGGAAAAAAAAAACTTTTTTTTTAAAAATGGCGGGAAAATGTATCGAATTACGTTCCGGTTTTTTGGTTTTCCGGATAACGGGTTCTGTACTGTAATAAATTGTTAGAATGATAAATGTGACAGAAAAAGAAAAAATGTCAAAGGGAATTATTACAACTTAATCAGAATAAAAAGTGATGGAATAGCATGGNTGTTGTCCAATATAAAAACACAATAATTATTGTCAAGTAATTGTTTTGAACGATAAAAAATATGATGTAAAAGACAGAATTTACCAGGCCAATTTCAGGCCAAATTTACTACCGTTTAGCGGTACCTTCACAAATTCAACTTTAGGAAAAACTGTAGTTTTACAAAATAAGTTATCTTAAAATTTCATTTTTGTATCCCGTAAAAAACGATAAATCCATATTTTTGTGTTGAGTTTTTAATATAATTTTTTATTTTTCACAAATTATGTCTAAATTTTCACAAAATAGGTACCTTTCAGAAAAACCTAGACAGACCCCTGATTATAAATATCATGTCAAAACTATCATGTATTTCCCTGACCTGACTTAATCAGAATAAAAAGTAATGAAATAGCTTAGGGATTTTAACTATCAGATCTGGTTAGAAATAATAAATTGTTAGAACTATAAACATGACTGAATGGGAAAACATGCCAAAGGGAATTATTACAACTTAATCAGAATAAAAAGCAATGAAATAGCTTAGGGATTTTAATCATCTGGTTAGAAATAATAAATTGTTAGAATGATAAATGTGACAGAAAAAGAAAAAATGTCAAAGGGAATTATTACAACTTAATCAGAATAAAAAGTGATGGAATAGCATGGGTATTTTAACTATGCCAACTCAAGTTAGGAATAATAAATTGTCAGAACTATAAACGTGACTGACAGGAAAAATATGTCAAAGGGAATTTACTGGCCAATACTTATTTTTAAAAAATATTGAAATTTTTGATAAGTACAAAGTTGTTGTAATATATATATGTAGCAAAATTGTTAAGTAAAATTATTAGAATAGTTCACTCAGAGCATTGTAAAATAACAAATTACCTGCCAAATTTCTGATCTCAATGCGTCTGGAAGGGGCTTTCCTTGACATACTTTTTTTATATTTTCTAACTTGCAGTCCTCTAATAAAGCTTTTTTTAATTCAGCAACCCTGGAATTAAAAATATGAAATTCTATTAGTTGTGATTAACTTTACATGACTATTAAGAATACATGTGTTATTCCTTAAGGGAGGGTAATAAGGAGAAAATAAACTGCTTTCATTTATGTATATTGAATCGAAACATGATTCTTATTAGTTAAATTTAGTTTTATTTCGAATGAAAGCACAACTTGTAGCATTTATAAAAAGAATATAATATCAGAATAAAAGTAAAATTAACAACTGGCTATATCTGAAATTTTGAGCTTGGTCAACTGCGTTAGAGGTGTTAAATGACCATTTTGTGAGTTGTTGTAGTTCATTTCTGTCGCACTAGAGCTGCACAATGGGCTATTGGCGACGGTCTGGGAAACATCCCTGAGGATGATCCGAAGACATGCCTTCACAATTTTGATCCTCTGCAGAGGGGATGGCACCCCCGCTTTGGTAGCATGACGACCAGTCAAGCACTTTACGGTAGAACAGTTTAACGAGGACCAATACCGCAGACCCTTGATCCCTACACAAACCGATCCAAATGATCACCTACTCACACACAGACTGCAGCCAGTGATGCTTGACTTCAGTGATCTGCTGGGAACCATGTCTTAACGATCGGTCCACTGCGGAACTGCCATTTTTAGTGATTTTATACTTTGCCATTTAATTTATTTTAATAAATACCTTTCTATTTAAAAATGCTCTCTAAATGCCTCATAATTTCCAGATTAAAATGCAAAAAAAAAAGCTTTAAAGTTGCTCATCAATTAATTCCCCCTTTTTTCTTTTTTTTTTGGAAGAAAATCTATACAAAGATTGTATTTTAGCTTGGCTTTAATTATTTTTAAAAAGCTTCAAATTTTTCTGTTATTTTGATAATGAGAAAGAAGTAGTTTGCGAACTATACACATAAAATATTATAAAAGGGTAATTTGAAAATTGAGGATCAAATTCAGTTATTACATAACATTACATATTTGGATAAATTTGAACAGAGTTAAGTGAGTGCCCTTTTCTGCGAGTAAGCGGCCTGCCCTTTTTTATTCCTAGGGAAAGCTCGGCTATTGTATTTTTAAGATATGCAGAAAGGTGGACTCTAGGAATATTATTGGGTTTTAATATGAAAATATGCTCATATTATCCATCATTTAACATTTGTAATCTTGTAATAAAAAATACTGAATTAACAATATTGGGAATTTAAGTAAGAGTGAGATAGGAGAGATTTCCGTTTAATTATCTGTGACAGAATAATTACCAAGTCTTGTTAACTTACGGGCAGCGGCCCGCAAGAAACTAAAAAAAACATCACATAAAAGGATCAACTTGAAAAGTATATAACTCATACCCATCCCCAGGCAAATATCTACATGACTTATTTAAAAAATTTACAAGTTCAAAATCTATTTGGTACCTTGGCAAATGTAGTTGGCGCAACAGATCATGATACGGATAAAAGATTAATAAAAGTACATTAAATTTTTTATCTTCTTTGTAATTCTTAAAATATATTTTAATTTCTACAGAAAGGGTTATTTAAGTATTGGTGTCTGTTCGAACCAACAACTATCACCAAAACAGCAAAGAAATAAAAAAGGTTAAAAAATCTCAATACCTAGAATAAAAACAAATGCATTTAATTATAAAATTATCACAAAACTAACTTCAGATAAAATATAAAAAAATAAATCTAAATGCAGTTTATGTAAAGTTTCGGCAAAATATATTAAATTTTTAATTAAATAAAATTAGATTATTTACAGAAAGTTTTGGTTTACAGAATATTTTGATTCTGTTCTATGACAGCACAAAATAAATGTTCAGCATTTATTTTATACATTACATTTTTTTCCTAAGTCGAAACAAGTATACAAAGATTAAAAAGCAATTTATATTACTTAGAAAGGTTCCATAAAAATTATTATCATACCAACTAGTGTCATACTCGTCACCATTACTCGCCATGTTGTCCTGTCAACAAATAAAATACTGGTCACATCACGTGATAATAATCAATTTGCACTTGAGATAATTGATACATTGATTGGTTGTACATACATTTCCGGCAACAGGCACTTTAGTTTCCGGTTATTTATGGTTGGCTGAAAAAGTAAAATTAAGCTAAGATGGTGTTAGGGTGCAAGACTACCGGGTTACTAACATCCGATTGAATATTTACGCTTAAGCTTAAAAACTCGCGCCATCCAAAATTATCAAATTCGTAGGATGAATTGGTCCCGCAGTGACTTCCCGATCGTAGGGAAGTCAAGCATCCTTGACAGCGATGAGTAAGCGGGTGGGTGACCACTTTGATCAGAATGAGTAGGGACCGAGGGTGTGTGGTATAGGTCCTCGTTAAGCCGTACTACCTTAAAGTGCTCGACTTCGTGAGCTGGTTGTCGGGCTACCAAAGCAGGGGAGCCATCCCCTGCATTGGTACAAATAAAGTACCAAAATAGGCTGAATTGTCAGAACGCAATCTAACTCGGTAGTTCAAACCTCAGTTCCGCAGTTTACGTGAACCCGGTCTAAACGAAAAACTAGGCTTTATTGCTAGTACTTCGATAAAAATGGGGGTGCTCATTCAAATTACATCATAAAAGTAAATAAAAGAAAAGCGGGAAGCTCGAAATGGTAGAGAAAAGAGAATATGCANCCATCCCCTCCGCAGAGGATCAAAATTGTGATGGCATGTCTTCGGATCATCCTCCGGGATGTTTCCCAGACCGTCGCCAATAGCCCATTGTGCAGCTCTAGTGCGACGTAAATTAACAACAACAACAAACTTCAGTTCCGCAGTTTACGTGAACCCGGTCAAAACGAAAAACTAGGCTTTATTGCTAGTACTTCGATAAAAGTGGGGGCTATCATTCAAATTACATCATAAAAGGAAATAAAAGAAAAATGGGAAGCTCGCAATGGTAGGGAAAAGAGAATATGCAAAGGGGGGGGGGAGTAATGGGATACCCAGACCGCAAAATAAGGTTTATTTTCATTCAGCAAAAACCTTTTAATATATACGTAAAAAGGTTTATTATGCTGGTTACGTGTAAACCTTCTAACCTTAAAACGATAATATCGTTTTTGTACGATATCTTTGACAATTTGCTCCATTCTACGCGCGTGCTACTAATGAGCGCTCATTATCCCAATCCAAAACCTTGTAAAAAACAACATTCTATATAAAAACCTGAAAATCGAGGTTGTTTTAAGGTTTTCAAGAGCGAAAAAATCCTTAAATAAAGCTAATCTCACGGTGAAAATAATCTTAAATCTAGGTAATTATGAGGTTTCTTTTCGCAACGTCTTGCATGCTCAGCTAAAATCCACATTGTCATGAAATTTTAATGGACAATGCAATATGATTTTATCGTTAGTGTGACGTCAGCTAAAACGTCAATATGAACCTAAATTACAATACAATTTTAACTAAAAGAATCTTTAAAAAATAGTTTTTAATCCTATTAGGGTGAAAAGTTTGAAACTGCATTATTTTTTTCCTTATTGAAAAAAGATTTTTGGTACAAACATTTTCGTGACAATGAAAAAAAATTCCGACACAAGGTTGCATGCTATCAGGGATGCCTGCAAGTAACGTAGTGTGTGCATCTCGATTCTGATTGGTTGTTGAAAAGTGACAATTGCTTACATTGGCAACTGTTCTTCCCATTCTGTATCGAGTAGGCCATGCCCGTCAAGTATCAACTCTCTTGAGTGTCAAATTTTATATTCTTACACAAAGATTTCAATTCTTTCGCAATATATTTCCTACTTAACCCAAAGACAGGCACGAAACCATATAGAACATAAAAAAACTTAAGCATCGAAGTTGCCTGGTACACAAAACAAAACTCGGTTACAATAAAATACATAAACAATTAATAAATCTGAGTAAAAGATGTAGACGAGAAAGAATCATATTTCAACAAATTCGATGTGCGATTCCAAGCTGTATTTAATTAACTTTATGTTAATTAACATTCTAACTTATAAGAGAAGCTCATCTTTAGCTCGCTAATTTGCTTATAAACGATCAGCTGGAGCTGACGTCAAAGTTCAATGTGTGAGTATACTCACACATTGACCTTTGACGTATATATACGTGACCATCTTGAACTGCAATGTCCAATTGGGAGTAGGATATATCAAATGAATAATATCCGTCTCTGTGATTTTAAAATTCCTTCTAATTTAAAAATTTTTTAATGAAGTTTAAAAAATAAAATCATATTTTATTACATATTTATGCAAGCAGTTTAATCAACTATGTGCTTTTATTAAAGAAAGAGGGGAAATTGTTGTTTTTAAAATTAAATAAATATATAAAATGTTCCTTGTATTAGTAATCGAGAATCTCTACAACATCTCTATAATTTTTTTTAATTTCCAATCATAACTTATTGGAAATTCTCACCTGAAACGGAGTATCTAATTGTTTTTTCCCCAAGCATTTATTTATTTAATTATTAAGAATTTAAATTGCCCCTAAAGGCCTCCACAAGTAATACAATCAAAAACGATCCCTGAGTGGTTATGACGTCACTTGTGCCGAATGGAAATGTCCACTAAGGCTATTTCAATGCTCTTTTAGTTTTGATATCACTTATGGAACTTCCTTTGTATATTGCAAGTAAAAATTCTGTGAATTAAATTTACGGCTCTGAAAGTGTGTGCAAAATGGAAGAAAGATTTTAGAGCCGGGGTAGCCTGGTTGGCAGGACGCTGGACACACGCTCAAGAAAACGTGAGCTCAAGTTCAGCCGGCCGAAGACTCCCCGTGCAGTAACTAGTGCACGTTGAATTTGTCGATTCACAAATTCCTCCATGTCCCCATAACAAATCAACACCTCTGGGGGTACTGAATTGGAGATTGATCGTTCTCTGGTTCAAGTCAAAATTACGATCTGTGGATGAATGTATGGTTCCACCCTAGAAACGGGTGTGACATAAGTCGAATTCATGGCCATAGATGGCGCTACTGGAGAAAAAGAGCAATCGTATCCCTTGGCTTAATGCAGTTTTTCGCAAAGTATGGTACTTGTACTTCCAGGGGTACGGGAACAATTTAGTGGAGGTATTCGTTCTTATGCGGAATATCTTGCAACAAACAAAAATTTCATAAAATTTTATTTAAAAATAAAGCTAGCCATGAAAATTTACGATTACGTAACTTTCTATTGGCTATTTTTTGCAGAATTAACAGTTAATAATTAGTGGTATCAACAGCCAGTTGTGATTTTATACTTCTGTGCAATTTTCTTATAGTAAAAACTAAAAAATACATTCATTTTTTTTATTAGTGGTACACAGCGCTGTGAAAAATTTAGAAATGGGTACACAAAAGTCATAAGTTTGGGAAACACTGGCCTACTGCAACAACAGTAGAAAAAATTAACCCAGGAAATTTGGAAATATTTGAGTAGAGCCGTAATGGCTCAGGGGATAGAACATTCGCCAATCCCAGTTGATACGAATTCTGCATCCGGCTTGCGCCGACCACAGTGCTGGCGTGAAATATCCTCAGTGGTAGACGGATCATGGGCTAACCGTTGGTTATCATTGTCATCCTCTCCATGTATCGCAAATGCGGGTTAATGACATCAAAAAGTCCTCCACAAAGGCACATTTCTCCCAGTACTCAATCCAAGAGTTCTCCTGTCTTCGGAGTTGAATATTAGTAGTTGTAAACCCAAAATTGGGTCGGCTGTTCAACGACAGTTATGAAATTAAAATATGCATAATGTTTTTTTTCTCTCGAGTGTGTAACATGACCAAAGAGTTAAAATTAAAATTTTTTTGTTCTTATACTTCACATATGTATGGGCCTATATTTTCCCTTTATAAAACTATTAACTCGGTCAGATATTAGATTATATTTTCATACTAAAGTAAATCATAGACAAATTAGGGGGCCCATAATGTTTCTCAATATGGCTACATTGGTCAGCCAGATGGACTGATAGGGTTAAGAAATATGGAGCAACCAATTGGTAGTGTCTGAACAACCTGGTTCGAAATTCAGTGATGTGATGGCCAATTTTTCAAAATTATATTTAAGAATTTTTTTCAGTTTATTTAACAATATTGTATTATAAATAAAATACTAATTTAATTAATTTATTCTTTCTAGTATTGTTATATAATAAAAGCTTTTAAATTAAGAATTTTTGCTCATTTATATAGCATAATATCTCTTTTTATTATTAACCTATAATTTTCAAACTAGCTCAGATAATTATATATACTACCATACCAAACAAAACAATTATAGACACATTAGGGGCTGCACAAAGTGGCCCAATCCGCAGTAATTACATAAAAAGATTGCAAGATTGATTTGTTTGAGTTTAGTAGTATTATAGAGCATGAATACGAATTCCGAGGTATAATTTCAGTCGCTTTTAAATCGTGTGAATATGAAAAACGATTCGATATGACATAAAAACGTGAAAATTTGAAACACGATCTCAAATCGCGTAAATAGGAATATCAACGCGTGATTTTAAATCATGTGAATGTAATTGTAAGTCGCGTTATTATTGGTTGAAAATATAGTAAAAAGAAAATTTATTTTCTCTCTTGGAAATTCGAAAAAGACAAACCTTTTTTGAAAAGTCAAATTTTTTAGCAATAGTTACAAAAGTTTCCGTGAACGGAATTCGCACATATTATACAGGTCTGCTTCTCAGATTTCATTATCTTTGTGGTTGAAATTTTAATAATCGGGGAGCATTTTACCTCTGATTATTCTTAAGTATAACTTATTTCTTTTATGAATCAATGCAACAAACTTCTGAGGATGGAAGATTAACACCATTGCATGATGCTTTGTGAGGCCAAGAATATTCTTTAGGGTTAATTCCCTCAGCCCACTTTTAATAGAAGCACCATGGGTGCTACTCCAGAAACATTACAAGACTGAACTTTTTTTTAGGCCAATTAACATAATGTAGCGCTATTTGGGAGAATTAAATTTATAGCTCAAGTTCCATGAGAATGGTCCACATATTATGTATACAAAAAAAATTCATTTATTTTTTACTGTTACCGGGTGCGTAGCCAAATCTCTCAACAAAAAATAAGCATCTTTAAAGTAGTTTTTAAGCACTATATACATTAACAAAAAGCAAAATAATTTTTACAGACTTTACATGATCATGATAAAATAACTTGTTTCTGACAAAGAACTTTTTTCTTGATTACATTAGCCAATATAAAAAGATAGAGAGATTTTTCGGTTCGATTTCAGAGGGAGGAAAATGAAGCCTGAAATGGATAATATTGCAAAAATCTCACCGAACCCAAGTTAGAAGACACACACGCGGACTCTCAAGTATTTCATCAAACATGTAAAATGATTGGCACCTTCATATACTAACGGCAGACTGTAGTAGATTGTGGTTTAATGAGTTATGAAAACTTTGAATAGAACAATGCGAAAAGCACGATTTTACATAATGCATGGCGAAAATCGACATTCCCTTTTTGAAAAAGGGAAAATTAAGCACTTTTTAAAAAACCCAATTAAAAACACCTTCAAGCACTTTTTAAAAAGGCTACACGCTATGAATAATGCACTGGAAAAAGGCTAGAGCAGGAATGTGACCTCAATTCAGGGATTTAAGCGTACAAAGCCTTGTATGCAGTAGAATTAAAATAAAGCAATGGTGGAAAGATTATAAATCGAGTAAATGTTTTTTCGTAAAAATGTAGTTGAACTAAATGTTACATCATATCTCAGTGAATTTTTTTTTCATTATTGATTAAGCATAAAATTTTAAAATACTGATTATTAAGAAAAACCCTATTAAAATATGTATTTTGAAAATTTACACTTGGCGTGGCATTTTTAATTGCAAGAGTTTCGCTTTTGAAAAAAGCTACAGCTTACACCGGAAAATCCAGTGCATCAGCCTCACACATTAAAACTTTATCGTGAGCTTTTGGCCATAGTTATAGACGGAGTCTGTCATTTTTTGGGTACATAAATTTTTTTGCGATGTAATTTCCTCCTTGAAAATCAGAACTGATTATGCAGTGCCAAGCATTGTAAGGTTAAACAAATATAATTGCACTTACATACAAAAAAAAAAGTAAAACACAACTTATAAATACAATAAAAGAAATTTATTCAACATTATAAAATGCTAAATCAAATGTAGGAACAAACTAATTTCGACATTTTATCATTAAAATCTATTAAAAAAAACATCTTTTAAGCATATTTGAGCAAGTTTGTCAGTTACTTTAAAAATATGACATGAAAAACATTGTAAATCAAAGCGCTCAATAGAAATCACACACAAAAAATACACTTGTTTCAACAGCTAAATATATTATGCTTCTGCTGAAGAGCTTAGAAATATGATTTTAAAAATATACTAATAAAAATTATGAAGTTAAATATAAATAAATGATAATTTTCAATGCATGAGTTCATTAAAAGCAGGGATCTGTCTGGGCAAATTTACTACCGCTTAGCAAATTCAACTTAAGGAAAAACGGTAGTTTCACAATACTTTAAAAAAAAGCAAGTTCTAAGATTCTCTTCTCCGCCTCGTAAAACTTTGTTGTTCTCACTCGGCTTGCTTGGGTGAAAGCAAGCTGGGATCCAGAAACATCCTGGGAAAAGAGAAGCGCCAGCTACTCTGTTCCTTAATGGAAGTGGAAGAAAAAGCGCCAGTACAACGCAAACCTGTTTTCCTTGCAATCTAAGGAGAAAAAAAAAAGGAATTTTTCTACTAATAGATAGCACTACTAATGGATATCTACTAATAGATAGGCCAGATTGTGCGGTGGGGTAAGTCTAATAGGTTGTTCACGCCATATTATAGTGATCTTTTTTTTCCGTAAAGTTTTTTTAAAAATGAAATGACAAGGATGTCCCTCTGTAAAGTTTACAAGTCGAAATTCGAACTATTATTTTAAATTTATTCTAATAGACCATTAGTTTTTTTTTTCTGCTCAACTTTTTTTCTGTGTGACCCAGTCTAAAATTTTTGAAGATAACTTTTAGTGCTAGTATTGCTAAATGTATGTTTTTATTAAATTAAAGTTAAAATTTAACTAAGGACAATGATTTTTGCAGGGTATGTAGCCAGATTTTTCAATAAAAAATAAGCACCTTTTAAGCACTCAAAAAATATTTTTAATCACTCTAAAAATAGAAAATCATAATTGGGATCTGTGCAATAATAATTTTTTTTTTAAATCGTTTAAAGTTCTTAATTTATAAACATAAAATCAATAAAATTCAGAACTTTACATAATCATGATAAAATAACTAGTTTCTGATGAACACTGCAGAGAAAATTGCGAAAAGCATGACTTTTTTTGTAATTTACAATGACAATCGATACAGCAAAGAAAAAAAATCTTTTTAAAAATTAGAAAATTAAGCACTTTTTACCAACCCCGAACAAAAAAAAAAGCACCTTTAAGGACTTTTAAAAAACGTAAATCAAAAATAAGCACCTTTAACAGGGTGGCCACTCATATCAGATTTCAAATTTCCCTGATTTTTCCAGATAAAAATCTAAAAATTTCCAGGTTTTAGTTTCCTTATTCTAATAGAGTGTAGGCAAGAAAAGTGTCCATATTATAAAATATTTTATTCAAAACGTTATTTTTTTAAACATATCTTGAAAAAAATAATTTATCTTGACAATTTAGCAAGATTTTTTTATTTATTTTTTAATATTTTGGTACAAATTTTTGAATAAAAAATCATACATTGACCAACAAAATAGTAAAATTAAATATTTGTATATAGTTAGTTCTTAAAATAAAACCTTTTTTTGAAATGAAATAGAAAAAATTAGCATTAATGCAACAATTGTTACAATTTGTCGATAAACATTGCTGTTAGCGATTGTAAAAAAAAATGTGTAATTGGTTGGTTTGCTGAGAAAAAATAATTCACAGATTTCTTTTAATGGGAATACAAAAGCTTTCAGAAAAAGAGTGATAAAATCTATTATGAGAAGATAAAATCCTATGAGAAGATAAAATCTATTATTATTATTAAATTATAACCAACTAATTTTTGGAGAATTTTATAAAGTTAAAAATACAAAAACATTTTGTCAAAATGGAAAAAAATTACCACGAAATAATTGGAACCAACTTAAGCCATAAATGGATTCAGCCCAAGGACAGAATTTAAAAACAGAAGCTAATATCCTAATCCCCTCTTCCACCTCCACCACAATCTTTTCTAAATTGTACAGTTCATAGCGGTCAAAGGTTTCCACATTCGTTTAGCAACAGTGGGAGAATTTTATGTCACATTCTAGTTTAACAGAGCTGTAATGGAGCAAATTTTGATGCAAGCAAAGTATTGCTAACTTGATGATATTTAAACTGCGTGAGATACATTTCCGTCTAAAAAAAGTGGGTATAATGGATGAAATAATTTAAATTAAGGAAATTAGTAAATAATTTAAATTAGTGAAAATAAAAAAAATTCCAGCTTTTCTTTAAAATTCTCTTATTTTTCCAGGTTTTTTCCAGTATAAAAAAATTCCCTGATAATTCCAGGTGAGTGGCCACCCTGTTTAAGCACTTTTTAAAAATGCTATGTGCCCTATTTTTAAATTTAGATACAATTTTAAGTTGAAAATTTTATGAAAGCAAATTTTTTTTTTGAATATATGGGAAAAATATATAGCGAAATTAACCATTTTTTTATTTTTATTTGTAGTGACAATTTTGGAAAATATTTTCTTATTTTAATATATATTTGTGTTGATTTTTAAATATAACTTTTAATTTTTACTAATAATGTCTACATTTTCACAAAATTCTCTTAAAAAAACCTAGACAGACCCCTGAAAAGAAGAGTCATAGAAACTATCAATAATTAAAAAAAAACAAACAAAACATCATAAGTTACAGATAGAGAACTGAATATCTCTATAAACATCAGTTGTAGGATGGAGAGGTATGATACAGTTCAACAAATGCCTTGATTCTTTTCATCTCTTCTGTCTTGGCTTGAGCCGCAGACGGCATAATTTCGTATCGCACTTGGACGTCTTTTCTGTTTCTCTCCAAAAACTTGTCTAGGTGCTTGTGACCTGAGTTACCACCTAGCTTGTGCAAGGTAAGTTTCTGGCGGAGGTTGTCACAGCTTCCGATATAAGCAGATTTCTTTGCTTTGTACACTTTTAGTTCATACACACCTGATTGAGAAGGCACTTTACCATCAAGGTCTTCAATAAGCAGCCATGGAGTGTAATGACCTACAAATGAAAATAGGCTTGTTATGATTTTACCAAGCCCGATCAAAAAAAAAAAAAACACACTGAAGTCTGTTTTTTACATCTGCATTTTATTATTAACAAATCAGATGTAGCTATTAAGCTAATAATAGAATAAAATACATGCCACATGCATTGAAATATTTAAATTTTCAATGCATCTATATTCTGCGGTTTAAATTTTTTACTTAACCTTTCTAAAAACTAGTGTTATTAGAAATTACAAGGAATTAAGGTATTTTCAGAAAAACTTGAGATTCTAATTCGCAATAAGAAAATTACTTATAAAAATATATTTTAAATACTATTTCTTTAAACTATGCGATTACATACAGTTTTAAATGATATTTTTAAAATATAGCACCTTTTAACTGGTGAAATAATTGTTCAATTGTATTCCTTGTTGTTGAAATACTAGAGCTTATTCTAGAAACTTTCTTTCACTGTACATGACATCGTACACAATGACACAGTTGGAAAAGTAATATTTGTACATAAACATTTGAAAAGTGATGTTAACATTGCATATATAAAATTTTTTCATGCTAAACATTTGAAGTGATGTTTATTTGAATTAAAATAAATAATTTATTTCTTTATGTAAACATTTAGTAGTTTTTCATAAATCTAAACCGGAATAGGTAAATCTTACACTACCATTACTGTCAGTAAAAATTTTATTGTTAATTTATCTACGTAAATTCAAATAATAAAATGCATTTATAATTATGGCTATTAACCAAGTATAAAAAGTATTTATTAATGCTCTAAGACTATAAAGAAAATTATAAAAAAAAATGATGGAAAACTCAATTAAATTTGAAAAAAATCTAATTGAACTCAGTGGGTTTGGTTTCTTTCCGGAATAAAAAAAAAAGCATTTTACAACACTGAATAAAAATGTACCAATGTTAGTTTAATTTCTAAAATTGGGATTAGTTACTTTACAGATTCTGAAGATTTCAGTACTTATAACTAGAGGTTACCACCCATTTTTGTATTTATGACTTCGCGGAAATCCAAAACAAATACTGCTGGAAAAACCATGTTAATTTGTCAAAAAGTCATTATTTTAACACATTATTCAAAATTCATGTTTTGAATTAATATTTTATTAAAGGCATAGATAGAGGTTTGAAAAAACTCTGATAAAATTTAAAAACAATTGCAAGACTATGTATATTTACTACTGAAGTATCACAAATCTGGAGATTAAATAAATTAATTGGATTAAATAAATCAATATAAGAGAGAGTATTCATTAACACAATTTAATATTTGTGTGCGACCAAAACTAAATACAATATTTTAAATATATAAACCAAGAACCGAATTTAGAAATTATTTTCCTCTTTTCAAGTGATGAAGAACACAAGAACTTAATTAGACGTTAAAAACTGGACTAAGTAACCTCTGTGGACCATTTTTTCTAGCTTTATAGTGATATTTCTAGGTTTTGGCAAAAATTGATTCCTTGATTTGCTCAAATCTAACCCTTTTTAATGACTTTATTGACTAATGGGAATCTTTAAAATATTAAGGGGATCAGAAACAATTTCTAAGGCTTACTAGTCAGACGAACTTCTAAGTTTTAAAGGATTTCAACTGATGCATGAGCATGAAATGCTTATTTCATTACTGATATTTTTTGTTTCCTACTTTACAGCAAACTATTTAAAATGTGTAAAGTTAAATAAATTTTTTTTACCTGAACTAGATGATTCACTTCTCGAAAGATCAGCATCTTCTGACTCTTCTAAAGACAAAACACCAATCATAAACATTTTAGCATAAAATACTAAAACGGTGTTATACACTCTAATAAGAATATTTAAAGGTTTTTAAAAAAGTATATTAGATTCCAATTGAATGTTAAATTGGAAATTAGCAATATTAAATTATTGGGTAGTTTAATTTGAATATTTTTAAATTGAAGCCAACCAGATAGAAAATAATTAAGGCGATTTTACGAAAGAATATAAATTTAATGCAAACAATTCTATTGCATGCAAAAATAAATAAATAAATAATAATAAATTTAAAACCTAAACATTTTTTGACCTATTAATTATATTTTCATTAAACAAGATGCAGTTTTAACAGGGTTTACCTTAAAAATGCTAATTGATCAATGCAGACAAGCAAAATAAATATTCAATTGTGTCTTATAGCACAAAATAAGACCCAAGAATTTTACTTTCTCTGAATTAACAAAATAATATTTGAAATAGACATAAGATTTAAATTTTTTTTTTTTAAAATCCTACTCATAAGATTTTAAAAGTTAATGGAACTCCTTTGCAAAATGGTAGCCATATTTTTCCCTCCCTTTTACTACTAGAGTCCACCAGGGATTACAGACTATGAGACTTTTTTTAAAAATGGTTGATAAAAATCTCAGTTTATTTAATTTAGTACAGTAAATCAAATTTTATAACTGTCTCAGAAAAATTTTCAAAATTTTTTGGCCTGCTAAAATCAGAAACCAAATAATATTAGAAAAAGCAAACTTAACTGCAACAGAAGATAAAAATAAAGAATATATGAAGATAAATGTTAAAAAGTGAGAAAATGAAAATGGACTAGACATGTACTAAGTGGTAACACTTTTCCACTTAACAAAGCTGCCAACATGGAAAGATAAATTTTATGATAATTGTTACATAATGTACTAAATATTTTACACACAGGGAATTTTAGGGATTTTTTTGTGGTTATCGAAATAGAAAAACTGTAATATTTTGCAGTTATGATTAACATTAAATTCATCAAAGATAGTTAAAAGATTTTTTAAAATTAATTTAAAAAGAGACTACTGAACAAAAATAAACTGAACATTTTAGAGCAAAAAAAGTCTTGAAATGATTTCTATAAATGAGGTTCGCTTCATTATGTACTAGTAATATTAAATATTCAAGCGAGCAAGCAATAATCTGTACAAAAATTCTATTTCAATAGGTATTTTCTTAGGAAACATACTCGATTTCAGGGAACTTTCTAAAATTTATAAAAACCAGGAGAATTTTAATTAAAGCAGTAGACCAGGAGAAACTGGCAAAATCTAGTCCACTTAAGTACATGTACTTAAGTGAAAAATTAACAATTGTTTCTTTTTCTTTGATGGTAGAAGAAAAAAGGGAAGACAGAAGTAACTTGGCAGAAACAAATGCCGGCAGATTTCAAGAGATCATAACTTAAAAGAATTAGAGGAAGCCAGATGCCAAACTAAAGACTGGAGAAGTTCTTTGTATGCTTATAAGCCAAGCGGCATGAAGAGGTCAAGTAAGTAAAAATTTTTTTAGAAAAATCACTTACCAGTAATTGCAGATGTATTTGAGTTTCTTGAAGACTTGAATCTTTTGGGAGATGGAGCAACTACAAAGTAATGATAAACAATGCATAAGATTTTTACCTCTCTTTTATTGCTATATAATTTAAATATATTTAAAAGTTCATTCCCAATTTTTGTTAGAATTGTTAATCAAATCACTCAAATAAACAAATAAGTATTATCTATAGGTGCTATAATGCGCATTTCCTTGATACAAAGGACAAAAATAAATAAATATTTAATAACATCACTCTATTAACAAATTTGTTAGTTTTATTAACTATTTTTGATATAAAATAAAAATGGCAGTTTTTAAATATTTTGCACCAATAAAAAAGCTTATTAAAATTTTAATATAGTATGTATTTGTAATATCATTGACATAAAGATTGCAAAAGCTTCTTTATTTGTTACTTTCTATATGTCATTTCATTATACCTTCAATTTTTCTTGATAATTTAAAGCCATTTTTTAGGAGATTTTACTAGCGACATTTTTGGGTCAGGAGTAAAGTTTTGATACATCATGCATAATAATGTAAGTCAAAATTGGGAATAATAAAAACACATTTACCGAAGTAAAAAATAAATATGTAAATCTTAATTAAAAGAGGATTTTTTTAAAACCATTATTTATAATTACTTAAACTACAAACACTCAATATACTGCAGTATTAGCAATAGCGACATCTGTTGAGGAATAAGAGAAGTACTTTTGCCAGTCTCGAATATATTTTAGCCAAATTTTCTATTAAAAATTTCACAAACACGGAAAAATTTGACAATATATGGTAAACAGGAGACTGGGCAGATATGTTCTAAATGAAACGTTTATAACTTTCATTCCCCTTCCTTATCTGCGTAATAGCATTAATCTGATGCATAACATTTCATATAATTTTTGTAAAAAAATTATTAAATATTTATTGATAAAAAAAGTTCAAAAACAAGATACAGAGTATTTTCTGACTAAAAGTAAAGATTTTTGCATACTCAAAGGAATCATTAAATTAATAATTGAAAATAATAATTTAGAAGGTTTGAAACACAAACCAGGCAAAAATGAAGAATTTTAAAGATTTACATGTTAGCAGGACAGCACCTAATCAGGGGACACACTGTCTGTTAACACACAGGAACCTTTCTGGAGTAAGTGGTTATATCAAAATGACAGTGTCCCGAGACCCCATAATGGATTAACAAAAGAAGAACAAGCAATAAAAGAATCAACGAAATACAGTAGGGAACCGATTATCCGGAACTATCAGGACCATTGGTATTCCGGATAACCGATTTTTAGAATCGCTACAAAAAGCTGTTTTTTTACTGTTAAACACAACTAAAAAAAATAATATTAGGAAATAATCTTAAAAAGAAGAAAAAACGAAGTAATACACTAATGATTATTTCCAAAATGATAGTAAGGTAAACATCTTTCCAAAAAGAAAGAAAAATCCTAAAATCTTACGAGTAAAAAAAAAAAATTTTTTTTTTTTTAAAAGCTTGACTTATTATTTAAATGTTATTTTCTCACGATTCCCGTTTCTGAATTTGTGTAAATCAGTTTCATTCTTTGATTGAATAAATGAAGATACACGCATTGCTTTTTTTTTCAGATGAGTTCTCTGTTATAATAGCATTTAAAATTTTTTTACCTGAAATTTTAATCATTTAGCAAATATTTCACATTGCTTCGCTTGCTGCATGAAAGCCTCTTAAGAATAAGCCTACATTTATACCAACTTTTAAAACAGTAATCATTTAAAAAATGTATTTAAACATCATATTATGAAAAGTAAAGGAAACTTAAAATTTTACCTGGAACATCTGTTACACCGCTACCAATAGTTTTTCTCTTTGATTTAGGTCGACCAACAGGCGTGTGGGAAATGTCTAAATTGAAATAAACAGAATTTTTTTTTGTACATTTATATGACATAAAAACTTTTAACAAACAGCAAATGATAAGCCACAGACATTAGAAAGAGAAAAACAGACTAATATTGCTTCAAAGGCTACAACAGGAGCCCCAAGACCAGACAGTCAAGGGTTTTTTTTTAAAAAGAGAAAATAAAAAAAGGAAAAGATTTAAAAATATTTTTGAATCTTTAAATCAAATTAAAAAACGAAGGGTTCATGCTCAAAAATAATTTTTTCCCCTGACCTATCCAGGTTTTCTAAAAAGATTTTAGTAAAATTTCACGTTTTAAAAAATGCAACAATATTTATATTTAACAAAAATGTAAATTACAAAACTATGAATAAATTCGCAACTCTAAAGAAGCATTAATACGAAGTCAGTATGTTTAACTAAAGCTTGCCACATATTTATATAATTTTTATTGTTGAAATAACTTTTTATAGCTAAAGAATATTTCTAACAGGAAATTTTTTAAAAATAAAATTTCATCTAGACAAAACAAGTTTGTAAAAAATGGCTATAAAATGAAAAGGACCCATGAATATTATTCACCACACTCATTAGGTTTGAGGAAAAAGTGGATACTAAGTCATTACAGCCTATTGGTTATTGACTACTAATTGAAAATTTAAGTTTTCATATTTTCCAAGTACAATTCTTTAAATTAAATAATAATACAGTCAAACAATAAAATTAAATAATAATATAGTGAACCCCTGGATATAATGTTATTTTTTGTGGATATAGTGAGCCAAAAAAGTGAGGAAGTTGGATATAATGAACTTTTTTCTGCCTTCCGACTGATTTGTTTCTTCATTTTTTTTTGTAATAATTTTGAAATTTCTACTTCAAACTAAATAGATATACCTATTTTTAAATCAATCTATAGAGGGAAATAAATGTATCGATAAGCATTTTTCTCGTTTGCTTCTTTTATCTCACTTTCCCATCCCTAAACATGCCAAGCAGATGTTTCCAGTGGATCAATATGCATTTTCTGTCAGAGGGAATGAGTAATTATTCCTTATTTGTCAAAAGGTTGGACACTAATCTGTGTTAATAAGGCCCTCATTTCAACTCCTTTCTGCTCTCAGTTCAGTTAAAAAAAAAGCCTGCAAACAAGTGTCTCATATTCAACTATGGTGAGCAGTAAACGTAAAACTTTCTGAATTGATGATAAAATGGGCATAATCAGAAAGATTGAAAATGGAGGTAATTGAGCTGATATTTACAGGAAATATAAACTATCCAAATCTACAGTTTGTAACATATGGAAAAATAGACAATTTTTCTGCTCATGGAAAAAAAAAATCACAGGGTAAAAAATGAAACTTAAAAATGAGAATATCTTGCAAAATGCAGCAGAGTTGCACATGAGAGTGCAATAATCTCACTGACCCCAGCTCACACGCCTCAGCAAAACTGTAAAATGATTGACACTTTCATACGCTATGGATTGAAGGTGCGCTGAAATAGATTGTGGTTGAATGAATGGTGAAAACATTGAATAGAAGACTCGCATGCAAACTCTCAAGTACTTCATCAAACATGTAAAATGTCGGCACTTTCATAAGCTATGGACCGTTAGTAAGCTGAAATGGATTGTGGGTGAATGAATTGTGAAAACATTGAATAAAACAATGTGAAAAGTACGCTTTTGCAAAATATGTGACTATTGTTGCAGAAAAATTTCTCTTTCATCTTATAAGTTGATGCTAGACTTGATGTGAAAAGTAAAGGAGAAGAGGTGGGAGGGGGAAAAGAAAGAATATAAAATAAGAGGATGTTGTTAGATATTATATTTAACATTTAAAATTTTCAAAATATAAAGATCGAAGAGAGATTAATACTGTTTTCAACGCGGACTGTTATATTATGTAAGGTTATCATTACATATTGTTAACAAGTGAAATTAATTCGCATTTTTTAATGCCTATTGCGACACACATCCTGTATTCTTAAGTTTAATTTTTTCCATGTACATTTGAATATTTTTCATATCAAGCTCAGCATTAATTTTAATACGATTACAAGATTAAAAATAGTTTTTTTTAAATCGACTAATATACACACAGTTTCCACAGCACGATCCAGATTCACTGAGTAATAAGTCTCTGTGGAGTAAAAAATTAGATGTCCATAATTCATTCCCCCCCTCCATTTTCAATGATAAGAGACGGAGGGATGTTTGTGTGTGAACAAGGTCACAGCTTCATAGTTATTTTAAACTAATTATATTAAAATGATATTGAAATCTATAATTAATAAACAAATATAATTCTATAATACAATAAAATAAATGTGGAGTACATTCAACTAAAAAGATATAAGCAAATATCAAATGATATTTTGATTAAATGTAAGAAATATTAAATGTTACAACTTCTTATGCAACATCTAGATTTTAACTTCCTCATTCTGAGAGATACTAGATACCAACCTACCTTATATGTTTAAAAGTAGACAAAAGAAGAAATATTGGAGGGGAAATCAAACAAAAAAAAAGACTGACCTGTAAAATTTTCCTCAACTTCAGTCATCACAGTTTTTCTTCGAGGGGCAGATCTTGTAAGATTAATCTCCGGAGAATAAATTTCTAAAATTCAAAAATGTAAATAAGTTATTAGATGCAATAATATTAGCTATAATATAATAGACGCAAATAAATTATGATCAAAACTGAAAGTAAATAATTTAATGATCAAATTTCAATGCTTCGAAATATCAAAATTACATTAATTCAAAAATATAAATCTATAAAGAAATTTTTGACTGTTCTTTTAAAAAAATTAATCATGGAAAATAATTTGAATATAATAAAAAAGTAATTTTTATAATGATGGGATAATTAAAATTGATTAAAAAGTATTGATTCATAAAGAATAGGAACTTAGCACACAAAACAAAAAGAATAGGAAAACATCGAGAAACGAAATCGATTTACAATGGAATCTGTGCAAATTGAAATGAATTAGATAGTGAAGCCTCAAATTTGCAATTACATATTTTTATTTTTTAAGAGGGGAAAAAAAAAGTGTTCCGAAGCTCCTGCGGGCCTCAGGTTTTCAACCAAATTCATGTTAAAAACATCGCTGAGTACAGAAAAGTCTCCCAATAGTCTCTTTCCCCAGAAAATAGCTTTTTTAGCCTTTCCAGGCAAAAAAAAGTTGCCATACTTGCCACATGCTGAAAATAGTTGCCTTTTAGACACCTGTGGCAACCCTGTGTTTTATTACATTTATGAGACATTGGTTGCCTTCATTAATCACTGACTGGGCACATGATACTCTTTTTTTTCTTCAGATCAAAACGTTTATCAAGTTTTGCTCCAGGTACATTCTTATTTTGCCCAGCTGTGTTTAGCACCTGCATATTTACAACAATTTTTTATTTCTGGAGTCATGCAAAAACCTGTAACTTTTCTTTTTTACAGCTTCTTTGATAATCCGTATGCTCGATGATATTCAAGCTCATTCTTGATCTTTCAGACGTGACAATTTTTATTTTATTAACAGAGAAAACTTTTTTAACTGATGTCCTACTAATGAAATATGTAAGACAGGATCTGACAAGAACAGATAGAAGATTCAAGGTGCGTAGCCAAATCTTTGAATCAAAAATAAGCACTTTTTAAAAACTTTTCAAACACTTTACAAACATTTTTCAAGCACTCAAAAAATTCATATTCAATCAATGATATTATCGAAAAACAAAAACTTTTTATAAACAGTTTTAGCGTTAAAAAAAACCCAAAAAGAAACGGGTGTAAATCGAAACAATCAGAACTTTCATAATCACCGAGTGAATTCAACTTGACCCTGAACTCAAAACTAAAGTACCCTTACCCACTACGTCATCAGTGTTAGAAGTAAAATAAAATACACAAGAACAAAATTAAAATGAATTAAAAAGAAAAACATTTCATAATGATCTGATACTCTCATAGTCATAACGTGGGTACGACATAAAGTCCGCGTGAATGATTACGTAGCAAACTCCCCGTTTTTCGTGAAATGCATGGGATCCATCAGATATCACTGAAGGGGAAAAAATTATTCGGCGTTTTTAAAAAAAAGCACTTTTTAAAAACGCCAGCTGAAAAAAGCACCTTTAAAAGCTTTTAAAAACGAAATCCCCAAAAAAGCACCTTTAAGTACTTTTTACAAACGCTACGCACCCTGAAGATTGTATTAGAGGAAAATCTAGATTATGTTTTACATTGAAAACTTTGCTCCAAAAATAATCAATAGGTTTCCAGGAATTTTCGGAGTAGTTCCCAATCTTCTCTATAAAAATATGATATAGATGCTCTTTGTACACTCATCAGAACTTTTCAACAGAATCTTCAACTATTACTTGAAAAACATATTTGCAAGCTGTTTAATGATAAGCAGCGTAAATGTAATTTTTTTTTTTTTACACATTATGGCATGTAAAATCTCTTAAGTTTTTAAAAATTTTCCTTTTTTTTTAATTGGAAAAAAAAATTTGAACACTAGCAATTAAATTATAAAACAGTTTAACATTTACTAAATTACCTGCTTTAAAATTTTAATGAATTGACACTAAGAGGTGTTTACAATACTATTTCTGTAATATATGACAATATTGGATGCATTTTGAGGCTTTAAAAATACATAAGAAATTAAGGATTTATAGGAGAACTTAGAAAGAAAAAAAAGCACAAGTAGAGGTACAGAAAATGGACAGATTTTGGTTTTAATAACAAGAACATTTTGTAACAGGGTGCGTAGTCAGATTTTTCAACAAAAAATAAGCACCATTTCTGCACCCAAAAATTTTTTTAATCACTTTCCTAAAAAAAAAAAGTCATAATTAGGATCGGTGCAGTAATAAAAAGTAATTTTTTTCCATTGTTTAAAGTTTTTAATTTATGAACATAAAATCAATAAAATTCAAAAACAGTTTTAAAAACTTTACATAATCATGATAAAATAATTAGTTTGTGATAAATACCCCAGAGAAAATCATGCCTATTTTGTAATTTAATGTGACAATTGACACGGCAAAAAAAAAAATTCTCTTTTTGAAAGAAAGAAAAATAAGCACTTTTTACAAACCTCGAATAAAAAAAGCACCTCCAAGAGCTTTTAAAAACACTAAATTAAAAATAAGCACTTTTAAAAACACTAAATGTCTAAGCAAAAAATGTCACTTGTGTCAAGACAGACACTGAGGAAGAAGGGGACCCTTTTAATAGAATCGAAAATACAGTGTGTCCACTTCAGTGCCTATATTTGTAATTCATTCATATGCAGCATGAAGTAGACCACATCTTAATTTGGATAATGAGTATGACCTCAAACATATAATCTGAAAATATACAAAACAATGCCACAATAAAACTTAAAATATTAAATAACAAGCTCACCAAGATCTTCATGAACATTAAGTCCCATAGAAAAATGCACATTCTTGGGAGTTTTTGGAGCAACTAAAAAAAAAAATAATAATTACAATATTAGAAAGATGCTAAAAATATAAAGTTAGACATCTGTCTGATAGTTATAAACACTTGGAAAAATCAAAGGATTTCATTAGCAGTAGTTATTGATTTACATCTCACAAGAGCTGCAAAATGGGCTACTGTTGACAGTTTGGAAAACATCCCTGAGGATGATCCACGGACACGCTATCAAAATTTTCCATCCTCTGGAAGGGATAAGGATTTCATTTAAAGTAGGTATATTTAAAAGTTTGTAAAAAAATTGTAAGCAATTGTATTTAAAATTTGCAAGCATTAAGTGTGCACTGTATTATTGGATTTTATTTCCTTTACTGAAATTACAGTGCAACCCGAATTTCACGTCAAACTATCAGTAATGATATTATATATGACAATATGATAATTTTTAAATCAAAAAAATTTGTATATTTGCAGAAAATTAAATACTTTTAATAACTAGAATTCATTAAAAAAACAACAACATACTTTTACAAAAATTTTCTTTCCCTTTTATCAAAAATTGAATTAGCATATATATTGTGAAAAGTGATTACTCAGATTCGAAACTCATCCATCGTAATGTCGTATAAAAATAAATCACATGGAATTTTGTAGCAACTCAGAAGGCGATCAAGAAACAAAAGACTTACGATGGAATCAGTGCTAATTGAATGAATTGAAAGGTGATGACTTAAATTATCAATTTAAAATTTTCAACATTTTTTATTTTTTAAAAATAAATAAATCAGTGTGTTCAGAAGCTTCTGCAGGCCTCAGGTTTTCAACAGGGTTCCAACACTATTTTGAGAAAACAATATCCTGACTTTTGCAGGTTTTTCCTGACCTTTTACAATACCTGCCGTTTCCCACTCCAACAAAACTTTTAACATTGCAGTTTCAATTAGTCATAATATGCTACTTAGTTATAAGTATCATAGATTGAATAGGATAAACACTTATATATTGAAGTGGAATTGCGTAATAGCACTTTATATCCCAAATTATATTTTCAGAAAACTTATGAAACATATCTTTGATTATCATGATTAGTTTAAACTTTTAGTGTGTTTTTGTAGTTAGATACAAATTATTTAAATAAAAAGATCAAGAAAATCTGCTGGATTATGGAAATATTATTTTATTTAATGTTAAGTGGAACCAAATGCATGTGTAGTCAGGATATTAAGGGTTAATCAACTCTTGAGATATGTATCAGTATCTTTAAATAATATTTACTCTTAAAAAAAAACATACTAGAACATTTGTTACATTAAAATATTAATTTTTAAAAATCACAATTTAACTTAAAACTGACTTTTCTTTTAAAAGATAGGAAAAAGTCAAGAAAAGTTAATTATATACAAATAAAAATTCAGATAGAAAAATTATGCAACTTGTGAGAAAAATAAAATCAAAAATATCTTTTTTACTTCAGTATATTTAAATTCATTTCTGTAATACTGTAAGCTTCAGGAGAAACTCAGGGGCTCCTATGTTATATAATATTTCTCAACATATTTTGTTGTTTGACAATTTCTGAATCAAGAACATCCAGTTCTGTTGCAGCAGTTTTCGTCAATTTAGATTTTCTTAATTTCAAATCATCTATCTTTTCTTTTATTCGTTTTCTATAAATTTCAGCTTTTTTATTCTTTTGTTTTTTGGCTTCTAATGCATGTCTCCATCTTGTTCTAGATCCTTTTACAGCATCTAGCATTTTTTCTTTAATGCCTATGTTTTTTATTCCACTTATAAATGAAACATAATCATACACACGCCTTTGTGAAATAATAGAGTCTTCATTGAGGTTTTAAACCAATAAGTTTTAATTGATTGAAACCCCCTCTTCGACTGTTGCGTTACCATGAGAGAGGATAAGAAAAATTTTTATAACCTCCCACAAATTTTCAAATTTTTTTTCTCCGAGCAAATATTTCGAAAAAAATTATCTCATCTCTTTTGCTCTTCTTCTTTTTTTTTTTTTTTGGCAGATACTTTATTTTTATTTCAGTNTCTTTTTTTTTTTTGGCAGCATCACAAAACAGTAAAAATTCCTTTTTTGATATTTCTGCTGTTGTTTCAGCTACTACTGTCTGTAAACCAGTTATTCACACAGAGAGCAATAAACCTAGCAACCCCATCAAAAATTCTTTATCACTAGATAAACAGGAGGAAAATTGCTTACAGGACAGGTTCTACCAGGGAAAGAGGAATGTTATTATGAGGAAATTACATATTTTGAATTACAGAATTTTTCCTTGAAACTTTATTTGTGTCTGTCAGTCTTTGAATGAACTATAGTTTTTTTATTTTTTATTTTCCTAACTTTATGAATATGTAAGAAAAATCCTGACTTTATGAATGTGTAAGAAAAATCCTGACTTTATGAATGTGTAAGAAAAATCCTGACTTTTAAGCTTAATTTTAGAGTAGCCTGACTTTTGCAGGTTTTCCTGACCGTGTAGGAACCCTGTTCAAACGTGGCTAAAAAAACACCACTAGTACAAAAAAGCCTCCTTTTCCTGAAAATAGTTGCTTTTTCAGCCTTTTCAGGCAATAAAAAGTTCACACAGTAACCACTTGCCGAAAATAGTTGCATTTTAGTCGACTGTGGCAACTCTGATTGCATTCGAACAGCTAGTTTAAGATGGAAGGATTTGAAGCAATACAATTAAACTCTGAAATCCAACATCAAGTGTAATACAAATATCACAATAAATAACCCAGGGACAACAAAGAGTATTAAAAAAAATTAAAGTGAAATTTAACTACTAAAACAAATTTAATGTCTATTTTAAAGAAAAAGATATAGAAATTAAGCATACCATCCATATCATTTTCTTCACATTCCATAGCATCACTTGCACCTAAAATAGAAAACCAAATACATCAAATAAAATTTTACATATATAAATATTATATGTATATATATAATGGTATAACTTACAATCATTAATATTAACATATCTTATCTTATAACCGTCGTCGAATAGCAGACTCATTTTTTTGGGTTTACGACTATTAATATTGAACTCTGTAGCCTTGTAATTTTAAACCCAATCCAGAAGACAAGAGAACTCCTGGATCAAGTATATTTTATTTTATAACCTGCGTTGAACAGATGACTCAATTTTGATATACGACTACTAATGTTTAACTCCGTAACCTTGTAATTTTGAACCAATCCAGAAGACAAGGAAACTCCTAGACCAGTACCCCCAGAGATATGGAGGACTTTGCGACCAGACAGGTTTAACATGCACCAGCCACCATTAACTGCACGGAGAGTCTTTAGTAGGCAGAGATCATTATATTGTAAAAAAAAAAAAATACTACCATACTTTACTTTATAGGTGAGTGAGCAACAAAAAATTGCTAAAAATGGAGGAAAAAAATAAGTATTGTGCACGGAATAAAACAGCAAGTAGGAATTCTATTTTCTGTGATAAAAATTAACTATCCTTCTTAGAGCCTGCTTTATGAGAAAAATATAAAGCTTGTTTTTTGTTGCAATAAATAATTCTTTCCTCAACAAAGAAAACAAGTCATTTGATTTAACACAATTGTTAAATAAACTAGCAAATGTGTAAAAAATAATGGAAAATCAAAACATACTGAAATAGATTATAATTATTATTTGTATAGCGAAATAGTCTTTTTATGCAATAAAAAATTTCCTCAGGGATGCCTCCCTATGCCCTTTCATAACTAAACTACACCTCTAAAAATTATGCACCAGAAAGTGATAATTGCCTATAGCCATTTCAGCTTTGCAACAGAAAAAAAAAATGAACAAAATAGTTGCTTTTAGCATAGTATAGTAGCTTTTACTACAGTAGCACTATATATATAGTAGTACTATAGTTACTATATTTAGTTTAGTATACTATAGTAGCTTTAGTATAGTTAGCTTTTAGTTTAGTATAGTAATAGGATGAAAACAGTTGCCAAAATAAATAAATTTTTTCAACAATATGACTAGAATTTTAATTATTATATACCATGATCAATTTGCTGAAAATATGATAATTTTAAAACTTTAAGTGCTCTAGCACTAAATTATTTTTTGTATATTTGAAGAAAATTAAATCCTTTTAATTATTAGATTTCATTCAAAAAAATACATTTTCTAAAATTTTTTCTCTTTTAATGAATAGTTGATTTAGCACATATATATATATATGAGTGCATTAAATAGCAATGACTCAAAGTTGCAATTAAAAATTCTCAATTTTTTTTTTTATTTTTTAAGAAAAAAAGAATCATTGTGTTTAGAAGTTCTTGCCGACTGCAGGTTGTCAACCCAATTTATGCTAAAAACAATCGCTAGGAGTACAGAAAAGTCTCACTTTCCTGAAAATAGTTGTTCTTAAGTCTTTTCAGGCAAAAAAAGAAAAAAAAAACAATTTTTTTCTTCCTTTTCCATAATTGTTTCAGGTAAAAATAAGTAGCAAATAAGTAGCCTCAACAAGTTTAAGATAAAAAATTGGGAAAAATGGGTACCATTTTTGTCAAAATGGGGAGCCAAGATAGAGCTGATCAATATTAAACATACGTACTTTTTATAATCATACTAATCTAATTTAAATTATTAAAAATAAAATGTACTTAATAATTAAAATCCTGTGTTTTCCCTGTAAGTATTATACACAATATATTATGAGGAAACAAAAAATCACTGTGCTCTTCTCTGAGTTATATTAGTTTAATTATACTAGTTTTAATTGCTGGAAAAACTTAAGGATTACTTAATATTGCTGGAAAAATAAGGAACAGCTGAATGTACTAAAACAAATAATGCTATAGTAAATGAATTAGTTTAATATGGCTGAAATATCATCTTCAAATACTCAACAGATTGTACTTTGAGTGGTTACCACTTTTGAAAAGACGAAAATGAGAAACAAAATTTCCTAATTTCTTAAGAAAAACTCAAAATCCCTTGCATTTTTCCTAATCTTAAATTCCCTGTATTTTTCTGATTTTTCCCGTGGAGTGGCAACCCTGTTGAAATGATTTTGGTTAAAAATTCTAAATATTTTATTACTTTTTTAGAAACCCAGTCTAATATTATTTGAAAATAGAGTAAAAAAAAAATAGAATAGAATATGCAATATTTTTTTTAGGTTAACTGATAATACTAGAGTGTTAATAATTAATAATAGTATTATAAACCCTCTAGTATTACAATTTTAATATTATATGTGTTATAAAATAGACATAATTCATTGATCAAAACATTTACAAGCCTAAGGATTTTTTTTTAAATATTACCAATATTTGTATCTTTACCAGCAGTTCTTTTTCTAGTGGAACGGCTAGGAGTAGTGTGGAGTTCTGGAATAAAAATTTAAATTTTGAAAACTACATAAGACTATATTAAGATTAAAAAACTAATTTTTTTTTAAAAAACTACATTACATTAGGGGAAAAAGAACAAACTTACCACTTTCAACGAGTGAATCAGGCTTTAGTATACTTTTTCTATTTTTGGCAGTACTTCTCTTTAGAGGAGTCAGCATAACTAAGAAAAAAAAAATCACTATTAAACAAGTGTTTAGCCAAATCTATTAACAAAAAATAAGCACATTTTAAGCACCCCCGTGGCAGAAACACGGCGACACAGCGACATTGTCGCAGAAAGCGACTGAGTTCTTGCAGAAAGATTTTTTTTATTTGGGAAATAAAAATTTTTGGTTTGCCACAAACAAAAGTTCTCAAAAAAAANAAAAAAAAAAAAAAAAAAAAAAAAAAAAAAAAAAAAAAAAAAAAAAAAAAAAAAAAAACATTTTCTACAGAAACAAAAAATTTCTGCAGAAGCATAATGGTTCTGCAAAAATTTTTTCCTACAGAATTGTTTTAAATATTTTTTTCTTGCGTACCGTTGAAGGAGAAAGCGCTCGTAATTCTCCTTTAATCTCCAACACAAACAGTTACTGGATAAAAAGGGGAGAATTTTTTTCCCCTTTATTAAGCTATTTTTGGAAATTTGCCAACTTCGGCCTCTATTGCTGGCGCAGTAATTTGCTTTGTATTTTCTTATTAAAACAAATTTGAAAACTGATTTTTCAAGGCGGCATTCCGAAGAAGAAATAAGATGGAAGTTGTGAACATCTAGCGATGTCAGAGATTTTTTTTCTGGAAAGCGACAGGAAAAGAAGCTTCCCACGCTACTAATATTGAAAAAAAAAA